CTGAGACAAGAGGATTAACCAAAACTAAAGAAATGAACATGAAATTGTTATACCACTTTTTAAAAAAATAGCTGAAATCAGAAAACAGTTTCCTAGTACCACCTATATCTTACGTATTTGACAAAAGTAAATAATACTAGTACACAAATATCCCCAAATGCACATCACAAACTGCATTCTACTTTACTTGATCTTCTCAGTTTTGATGTTGTAAGAAATGTATTTATAGGGCTGGGGTTGTGGCTCAGTGGTAGAGTGCTTGCCTAGCATGTGTGAGGCACTGGGTTCGACTCTCAGCACTGCATATCAATAAATAGATAGATAGATAGATAAAATAAAGGTCTGTCAACAACTAAAAATATATTTAAAAAAGAAATGTACTTATAGGGGCTGGGGATGTGGCTCAAGCGGTAGCGCGCTCGTCTGGCATGCGTGCGGCCCGGGTTCGATCCCCAGCACCACATACCAACAAAGATGTTGTGTCCGCCGAGAACTAAGAAATAAATATTAAAATTTCTCTCTCTCTCTCTCTCTCTCCTCTCTCACTCTCTCCTTAAAAAATTAAAAAAAAAAAAGAAATGTACTTATAGCAGTTATTAAAATTAAAGTGTAGCCCAGCATATGTCAGATTATGGGTTCTATCCCCAGCACTGAAAAAAATAGGGGACTATTGGTAATTATGAACAATTAAACACTTCCACAAATTTCACAGCAAGGTTTCTTTTTTTCTTCTCCCCACCCCCCCTTTTTTTTTAAGTGCTGGGGATTTAACCCAGAGGTGCTTTACCAGCACTACATCCCCAGCCCCCTTTTAAATTTTGAAACAGGATCTCACTAAAATGCCAATCTGGCCTCAAACTTGCAATCTTCTTGTCATAGCTCCCAGTAGCTGTGATTACAGGCATGTACCATCATGTCCGATAGGACTAACAAGATTTCTATTATCTGATCTGCATGTGTAATGAATTATACTATCAGATAGTGTTTAAAAGGCTGGAAGACATTTGTTGTGTGTTTTAGAATAAAATGGTAAATTTAAGGGAAGCTTTCATGGTTCAAATTGTAAGAATGGAATATGCAGGCAAACAAATAGTAAGAAAATATACCTATCATCAACTGTATACTGCCTAGATAACACTCTTATAAAAGTTCACTGGTATGGGCTATATAATTGGGTTGACAAAATAAAAGTTATTTTTTCTAACCTTAAAGGATCCTTAAAATGCTCCGTAGGGTTCCTGCCCTAAACACTAGTTATCTGTTTATGCACATATCTGCAGCTAGTACTTAATGTTTGTATATAAGATATTTAATGTATAACATATATAAAAATATATTTACCATATATGGTCATTTTATACTTACTATACAGTTTGCCCTCCCTATCTGTGGGTTCCGTATCTGGGGATTAAACCCAACACAGATTGACACTGCATTAGGTATTATAAGTCATTTGGGAATGAGCAAGTACTATGTCATGTCATATGACACTTGAGCATCCTCAGATTTGGGTATCTGTTGGCAGGGTGTGGGGCTCCTAAAACCAACCAATCCCCTGCAGGTACCAAGGGAGACTGTATATTTAAATATATTGTTGGGGCTTGGGCTGGGGCTCAGTGGTAGCGTGCTTGCCTAACATGCACCTCATACAAATAAATAAAATAAAGTTCCATCAACAACTATAAAGTATTTTTAAAAAATAAATATATGGGACATTAACTTAATATACAGTTGTACACACTCAGCACACACCCTTTTTCAAATCTCTGGCTGAAATTATCCCTGGCTCAAGAAAGCAAATGCAGGGAGGGCTAAACTTCCCTTCTCTTGCACTAGTATCAACTAAAATAATTCCACAAACTTCCAATTTTTGGAATCCAATTGGGTTAATATTCTAAAAATCCAGTCAAAAGACAAAGGAATTATGTAGAGATGCATCCAAAAATTTGCTCATTAGTTGCATGCACCTTGAAATACATCCTCCCCAGAAGTAGAGTTGTCAGGCAGGTAGCTTTCTTGGCCAAACTGCAAATCACTTCCATTCATGAAGGAGCTGTGAGGAGAAAGCAACTCTGCTATGTCACCACTTGTACCACTCAACTCCCATCTGCCCAGGATTCAAGTCTTATTCTAAAAACTCAATATTGACTCAGAAGCCCTTCAGGACAGTTACAGACCTTCTCTTCACTTAAATCACAAAGAGCTGCTAACCGTCCTTGGGTGTGAGAGTCTCTGGACTTCCTTTCAATCCACACAAATGAGTGACAGAGGATGCTTTAACCTTCCGATAATTTGCATTTGTCTTTTGAGTGAAGGATGTTTATCACCTACTTGAGCACTCATTTGTGAGAGGTGGGGGTGGAGGTCAGCACACTGGAGACCAGCTCTGGGAGTTAGTCTCTAAGTGGTTCTAGCTTTCCAAGGCTTCTTTCCTTTTCTGAGTTTTTACAACAAAGAGAAAGCAAGGGCTTGTAGGAGTGGGTGGGTGGTTCATCCTTTGGAGTCTGATTATCATCTTAGCACCCTACAGCACGAGCATGAAAGCTAGAAAAGAAGCAAACCATCGCCCCAGATTCTGTAGGTCCAGAGTGGATTTCAGAACCTTTATATTTTTGCAATGCAGGGGCTCAACCCCAGGGCCTTGTACATGCAAGGCAGGCACCAAAAGAAACCCCCAGTCCTTACTTTTAAAGTTTAGATAATTATACTCCAGCTATAGCATTTCCTATAGGATAGTTAACGTATTAAAGAGGAAAAGGTGATATGATTGCATTTTATTTTAGGTGCTGGGAATAAATTCAGGGACTTGGACATGCAAAGCACTTGCTCTACCACTGAGACATCACCGCCCCCCAGCCTAATTTCATTTTCATTATACAGTCTTTTCCAGTCTTTCCTTGGTGGGTGGGAGTTGAAGGGGTAGATATGAATAATGTAGAAAGTCCCTTCTGCCAAAAGAGAGAAATCATTTGGATTTCCCCTTACCCAGTCAGATACTTTACATCTGCAGATAATGAAAACTGAGATAGTAAGTAGACTTTTTGTCACTGTCATAGCATAGAGGATTTAAACAAAAGTAAATAAATATAGGGGGCTGGGGTTGTAGTTTAGTGGTTGAGCACTTGCCTGGCATGCATGAGGCACTGGGTTTGATCCTCGGCACCACATAAAATAAATAAATAAAACAAAAGATAGTCTACCTACAACAACAACAAAAAAAAACACAAAACAGATTAAAAAAAAAAAAAAGTAAATATGGGCCAACATGATGGCACACACCTGTAATCCCAGCAGCTTGGAAGGCTGAGGCAGGAGGATCCAGAGTTTAAAGCCAGCCTCAGCAACAGCAAGGCGCTAAGCAACTCAGTGAGACCCTGTCTCTAATACAATATAAAATAGGGCTGAGGATATAGCTCAGTTGTTGAGTGCCCCCAAATTCAATCCCTCAGCACCAAAAAAAAAAAAAAAAAAAAAGTAAATATGGTTCAATAGTTTTCTTTTTTCTAATTTCAGTTATAAAACAATGGAAACAAAGATGTTTTAAAAAACATTAAATTTGGCCAGATGCAGTGGCACACACCTGTAATCCCAGGCACTTGGGAGGCTGAAGCAGGAGGCTCACAAGTTCGAGGCTAGCCTCAGCAATTTAGCAGGCCCCTCAGCATTGTAGCAAGACCTGTTTCAAAATAAAAAAAAATCAAAAGGACTTGGGATGTAGCTCAATGGTAAAGTGCCCCTGGGTTCAATCCCCTGTTCTACCAAAAAAAAGTTGGGGGGTGTGGTGTTAAGTTTAATGTCCAATTCACTGAAATTTATATAATAGCTGCCTTGTTTGTGTCTTCCCTAACTCATTTACTTCTATTCTATGACTCAGGTTCCTTATAATGCAGTGGTTAGGCACTAATTTTGCCCTTATAGGTGGGTATTCCCACATGCAAATGTGTTTTCCTAAGTCCATTTCCTTAGCAAATCCACTTACCTCAGATGTAGCATTTTCCATCTTTGAATAGGCCAAGGAACTTGAGCCAGAGGGGAAAAGTGACCTTAAAATATGCCAGAACTAGCTGGGCACAGTGGCACATGCTTGTAATACCAGTGACTCAAGAGGCTGAGGCAGAAGGATCTCAAGTTCAAAGCCAGCCTCAACAACAACTCAGTGAAGCCCTAAGCAACTTAGCAAGAAGTATCCAAAAAAAAAAAAAAAGGAATAGGGTTGTCGCTCAGTGGTTAACCCCCAAATGGTAATACTAAGCTAATGTCAACACTGGTTTCTGGTTCACTTCAGCTAGATACCCTCTTTGATGGTTCTAAAATCAGCAGGAGTTAATAAATTCACAGTAGTCAAAGTTTGTGGTAAAGGAAAAAAAAAAAAAGAAGAGCATTGAGATTATATCCCTTCTCTCTATCAATAGAGATCCTGCCACTACATGATTCTTCTGGCAACTCAGAAAAGACACCAGAGGTAACCCTCAGGATGTTCTGAGGGACTCAGGCTGTGAAAGAATAACAAGTATAAAAGTTCATTAAGGAAAAACAAAAATACTTCATGCCTGCTTCCCAGCTCTCATCGCCCCACCCAAGGCTAGTATTAAAAAAAGGGTCCAGGTCAGTCAGACATTTTCATTCTGCTTTAGTTATTTTGTTAGGAGTATGCCTAAAAGTCTGCAGATGAGCTGAAAATGTCCGTAAGAAGCATGTTACATACAGGTCTATCTAGCATTGATAATACTGTGAAAGCCACCTTGGGAACGAAAATACTGTGTCGAAGAAAAAAAATCTCTAGTATAAATGTAATTTGCCCTCATTTCTAATTTTTTAAAAATATTTATCTAAAAATCATACTAGAAGTGAGTTTTGTCAATAATAGCACATTATGGTGAACTGAACTTGATCTAACAACCAGCATAAAATTTTCAACCCATCTTGGATTAGCAAAAATTAAAAGTATAAATAAAAACAAAATAAAAGAAACACTATAAAAGGAAAAACAAAGACAAAAGTTGAATTTACTGTGAAAAATCTGATTTTATTTTCTGAATCAAAAAGAAGTGTATTTGTGTTAAATTTAGAATGTTTAGTTTTTCCATTCATTTTTCAAAATACTTTCCAGACAGTGCTCAGAACTGTGTAAAAGTTACCATCCAATACCATGTTTTCTAGGAAACCTTTTCTTCAAGGCATTGGCAATTCTAATTTTAAAGTAAAAGAATTTAACTACTATTAGAAATCTCAGTGACAATGAGTTTCAAGAGCTAAATCATATTTGTTTTAAAGCAGAATTTAAAAAAAAAATTCTGAGGGACTCACATCTGACAACTCCAATGAAACATAATACCTCCCAACGTCCAAACTATTAAATGCATCACTTCAATAAGATAGGAAAATTATAAAATGGAATTTTATTGTGTGTCGTATATATAAATATACCATTTTAACTGTCATGTTTGGTAGCAGAATCATGAAATAAAAACAAAATCTACATTCAAGGGACAATTTCGTAAATACTCTTTTTGTTACTTAAGAGTCCATCCTATTCTTTGTTGTTTTCTATTCCTGTATTTTAAAATCACGACCAAAGGCCAAGAGTTGATCTGAACTGAACAGTCAGTAGGTTCTACTGTTTCTACATACAGTACATGTGTCCTTTAACAAGCCCAGGACTCAAAATGTTGGAGAATTTCTAAAAAAACATATTTACGAATACTTGAAAATTCAAAGCGACTCTGAAAGCCACATCCCAAAATCTAGTAGACATTCTTCAAGGGCTGTTCAAAGGTACTGAAGCATATCCAGCATGCACACAAACTTACTTGTTCAAACTGAGGTAAATCAGTGAACAATACAACAGAAGTTGCATAATTAAGACTAACCTTTTTTTGCTTATTCCACAAACTTTTAAATTTTCTCATAAAAAAAGAGAGCCAATTTTTCTGATTTCAGCCACCAAAAAATTAAGCCATTTCTTGGGGCGGGGGCTATAAACTCGCCAGTTGAGTGCTTGCCTTGCATGCACAAGGTCCTTGGTTCAATCCTCAGCACAGAAAAGAAAAGAAAAGACCATTTCTTTCAAATTTCAAACCCATTATTAGTGAAGAATGTTTTAAAGGAAAACATTTCCCCACAGAACCTAATACAATTTCTTATTATTTTTCAAATTTAGAAAGAACTCACGCCTGGATTTGATATTTTTTCAGACAGCAAGCAATACTGACAGGATTCATAAATAGGATTTTCTGACACATGCAGGAAAGTCTGCTAACATTCACAACATTCCAACCACTCTTCTTTCAAGCATAAAAGATGGCTGAGAATTGGCAGTTATTAGTTTTCAGTACAAATACACATTTAAGCCTTGATATTTTTTTTTTTTGCCAACATTTTAAATAGTCAAATTTTATTCCACTTCCAGGGTTCAAATCAAACAAACAAAAAACAAATGAAAATTACAACTGGCAACAAGTCCCATATGCCAATGTTATTTTTAACCAGTAATTGTAACCTACTGCCAGTAATTATTTACATGTATCTGCTTGTTTTATTAAATAAGCACTGGTCAGTTATATAAGAGAAAATTTGCAAGAATGGTACTTGGCAATGGGTTATCTTAAAGCTTCTGGAATAAATAAGCATTTAGAAAACACCAGCTCTTAAGCATTTTTTTTTTATCTGTAATTTGAGTTAAAAAATGCATTTTAAATGTTACTTTTCCACTGATAGATTCTGGGAGTCTAGTCCCAGGTAACATGGGTGACTTGAAATAAACAAAATAAACAAATCCCTAAGCCACATAGTAATGGAATAATATACTTGCTTTTAATATGATATGGAAACAGTTCCAGGCAGACAAAAAGAAGAAAATCTGTCAAATCAAAGTACTGTAAATAAGGTTCATTTTATATACCTCCAGCAGAAAACCTCAAAAAAATCACAATCAAAAGATTACCTACTCCCCCCACCAGGCAAAAAAATCATTTTAGTTCTGAGCTTAACATTTCCCTAGGATGTTAATAGGAGAAGATTTAAAGCACTTAGAGCTGCAGCAGTAACTGTAGAAAGCGCAACACTACAGAGAAAAGCCCTAAAGGGTTCAGGGCTGCCCACCCATCCATCCCTCACTACCCCCCCACCCCAGTAATATGTAAAAGTTTTTCTTATGCTAATAAAGGCATACCACCTATTGTGCTAAAGACTAAAACTAGCAACATTAGAGCAGTAAAGTGAAAATAGGAAGCCTATAGGATTTATCTAAATGCCTACTTAGAAGAAACAAAGCAGCAGACAGGACCCTTTGCCCCCTGGTTGTGTTTGCAGGGAAGTGGTTATATTAAACAGCCAGATTAACTCATTTAAAAAAAAAAACAAAAAACCAACAAACCTTCCCCAAGGTACCAGAATAAAACTTGACCTTTTCAGTCAAAGGGCACAGAGAGGCCTCTTCATGTCCTGGAGTTGAATGAGTTCAAAGATTGGCAATAAAGGAAGAAAGAAAGCGTTAGGGGTGTGATTGGAACAAGCCTTGCAGTTTATCGAACAGTCACACCAAGTTTTTCCAGCACGCGGACACCCTTTTCTTGGTACTCCTGTCGGGTCATCCAAAAGTTGTCTTTGTCTTTCATGATATCTGCTAGAACTGCGCCACCCAGGAAGACCATGTGCTTTCTGCGAGGTGGGTCTTCAATTCGAATCTTAAATTTCTGAAGAAAGGATAATAAAATGTCACGTAAACATAGGGCTTTCTATTTCATGAAAATGACTTTTTCCACATATTCACTTGCTGAATCTAAAAACAACCCATAATATAAGTAGGACAGCAGGATTTGGGATCCGAGGCCCAGAAACATTTAGCAATTTCTCCCGTGCTCCACTCTAATGTACTTGGAACAGTTCAATTCACTCCTATTGTCTCATTTTTAACAGCACCCCCTTTCATTCTCCAAAGCATGCTGATTTGAGCAGGGCAAGGTGGCGCATGCCTGTAATCCCAGCAGCTCGGGAGGCTGAGGCAAGCAACTCAGTGAAACTCTGTCTCTAAATGAAAGATAAAATAGGGCTGGGGATGTAGCTCAGTGGCCAAGTGCACCTGAGTTCAATCCCTGGTACCAAAAAAAAAAAAGTACACTGACTTGACAGATAAGTTACACAACCAATCACCTTACCAAGAGTCAAAATACCAGATGATGGACAATGATGTTGAGGACACCAGAGTAACACTGAACCAGCTTTCCTTCCTTCTTATTTTTTTTCCACTGCTAGGGACTGAACCCAGGGTCTTGTGCACCCTACATAAGGGTTCTACACTTAGCCACACCCACAGTCCTTAAGTTCTTTTCTTGTAAGGAAAGCTCACTTTCTAAGGTCTCAAATTCAAATGAAATGTTCTTCAAATAAACAAGGCCAAATATGGTCAAAACAAATCATGGGGATGTTGGAGAAAATGAACACAGTAACTAAGACAATTGAGAAAAGTTTTATACTCTGTAGCTACTATAATTGTCTAAAAAGGATAAATCCTAATCTGTATACTCAATATCTGAAAGAGAAACCTTCAAATGACATAGTTATTTTATGTCACAAATTCTGCAAAAAAGACTTAAAAGTAACTATGTCCTCCTGCATTATGGCTTTATGTCAATAAATAGAATTAGGAATCTGATAATCTATGAAACAATTTACTCATTAGTCAATTCTGAGACCAACCTACTGTTACTCTTTGCTATTAAATAGGAGTTGGCAAATGTTCTTTTGTAAAGGGCTAAGACAGTAAATACTTGGGGATTTTCAGGTTTATGGCTGCTACACCCATATGTAGCCAGAAGACAGCCATACACAGTATATAACAATAGCTAACACTATTGTAAACAAATGGGCCTAGCTATGTTCCAATAAAATTAACAAGGGCTGTAATGTACCCACTTCTGTTCCAAGGGAAACTAAATAGCCGCTGAAGACACACTGCTTCGCCTGCAGCTTTCACAACTGGCTGCTATTCTTCTGCTCATACTACCTTCCTAACCCTAGTTTGGTAACAGGAGTTCTTGTTCTTCATTGCTTCTTTTATCTCCCTCCTCCCTGAACTCCACAGCTGCTCTGAAACTCATTCTATCCAACTACTCCATCCATCAATTTTCCTTGTGGAAGTCCTGTTATCTATAGATTCTTGCAGACATCTACACATCTCCAGGTTATTTCCTCTCATACCTATTCTTGGTTCATGAATGCACATATTCTCTCCATTTCCTGAGATTCTTGGTAACTTTCTTCTTCTCTTCCTCTTATACTCACTTAGCAAATACCAACTTGGGTTATCACCTTTCAACTTTGCACCTACCCTCAAGCAGCTGAGTTGGATAGGAAAGAAAATCAACCACTTGCTTTAAATGTAAACGCGTCACTAACCTAAAAAGGGCCTGAGTGCTAAATGGCAATCCTATTGCATTTCTCCACTCTCTGTTCCATTCTTCAGGAAACCAATTCAACCTTCTCCATTTTAAACCTCTAACATTTCCATCTCACTTCTCCAAACTATGCTTCTCCATCTACCTTTGTTTCCTTCCCCTCTACGAGTCTATTTACTATAGCCAACTTATCCTTTTAATACATAAATCAAATCTTATCATTTCTCTACTCAAAACCCTCTCAAGACTTTTTTTTTTTTTTTTTTTTTTAAGTTCCTCCCTGGAAGACTTTTCCCTTGATCGATACAGGTCTCTCATTAAAAGTGAGAGAGACCTTATCAGAGAGGTCTTTCCTGATCACACTTATAAAGAAACATACCACCTCTCCAACCACTAACATTGTTTTGCTTTTAACCTTATTTTTCATTATAGCACTGATATATTACTTAAACTAAAAGCAGGGACTTTATTTTGTTTACCACTATTTTGTTTGTACCAGCACCTAGAACAGTGTTTGGCACCTAGATGGAGTCCAAGAAATGTTTGCTGAATAAATAAATGATCCTATGTGATGGATTTTAAATTATATGTATAATTCAATAAAATCAGAAAAATGAGCAAAGTACTTAGACAACATGGCTCCTGTATAGTCTTAATTTGTTTAACATATGTAAGTCCATACTCAATTTAATTTCAATTTGAGTCATCTGTGAAAGATGTAACATTAGTGTTTCCAAAACATACAGTACTCCATAATATATAATCTCATTATCTAAAAAAGATGACCAAAGACAGTGAAACAAAGCTTAGAGATTAACTCAAGATTAAAAGACTCTTAGTTGAGTACATAAAATATATAGCATACTTCATATAGTCCACAGCATTTTGGTTTGTTTTTCTTTTTGTTTTTGGATACAGGGGAGGGCATATGCCAAAGAAGCATCAATTACCCCCAGTGTAAAAGTTTCTAATGTACACATTAACAATGACCAGTTAAAGTCTGTTCTAAGAGCTAATGATAGTTACAAGGATGCACAAGAACTGAACATATGATAGGAGAGATAAGACATGTAACAAATTGCCAGAAAATAACCTAAAGTCAGAATTATGATAGGCTAAGAGTAGTGCTGAAGGCCAACTACATATTCAAAAAGTTAAAAACAGAACAAAACAATACCCCAAATGGAACATTTATTGTTTCATAGTATATCAGATTCTCCTTCTGCACTTAGTGGCATGCTGGAGTCCAGGATGTGTGTTGTTGAACTAGGACATTTGGCCTGGACCTGGTCACCTCAATGCACTAAATAAGTGGTGACCTGGTAGCAACACCATTCTTGGATAGAATTTACCTTGAACCATTTACTTCCAGGCTACACTTCATTGCAGCAGGAATTTGTTTAGGAAGACTTCTTGCTCCCTCTGGTGGTTGTAAAGATCCACAAGCTTCTTTACATGGTTCTAAAATAACATTAACTACTGCATTGTTATTACTTACAGAAAGTTTTTCCACATCTCCTTTTAAAACTCTTTCTAAGTAAAGCTGTTTAAGTTCTCGTTCCAACCTTGATGGCAGGCCAGGATACATAGTAGATCCTCCAGAAAGCACAATGTGCTTGTAGAACTCAGATCTAAGAAGAGACAATAGGTATTCATTTGGGGGTTTCAGATTAGGAAAACAGTTAAGTCAGGGTTACTGCTATTTATTTTCTTTAATTTTTTTTTTTTAAAGGACAAAATCTTGCTATATTGTCCAGGTTGGCCTGGAACTTCTGGGCTCAAGTGATCCTTTGGGGGCCTCAAACTCACTACTATATCTGGTACTAGGGTTACTGTTAATTTATGTCAGCCTCAGGGGGGCTGCTGGGCGGATTAAATAAAATACCACACATAAACCACAGGGCTAAATGTTTGCTATTGCAACTGCTATTGGAAAACAAGTCCTCTTTACATATAAAGTATTAAAATCTGATGAAAATATTTCTAAAAGCACATGATACACTTATTACATATGTAATAAGTGACTACGGTTTACATTGAAAACCTCCAGTATTTAGACTGTTATCACAGTGTTTCCCTGAAGCCACGGGGATATGTGTGTTTACTATGATTAGCTATACTGTACTCTCACTGAATTCCCACTTTTCAATTTTTCCATTTGCCCTTTTAGTTTTCCCTTTTGTTCTTGTGCCTTAAGGCTGTCTTTCATTATTTGGCTAGAAAGATAGATGTGTCTGCTTCTCCTAGCAGTCAGTCCCTTTCTACTTTTTTAAATATGCTGCTGTTGGCTATGATTTCAGAAAATCAAATCTAAAATATCTTCATGTAGTAAAAGTAACAGAATCTTTTTTTTTTTTTTTTAATATTTATTTTTTAGTTCTCGGTGGACACAACATCTTTGTTGGTATGTGGTGCTGAGGATCGAACCCGGGTCGCACGCATGTCAGGCGAGCGCGCTACCGCTTGAGCCACATCTCCAGCCCGAGCCACATCTCCAGCCCAGTAACAGAATCTTGATGAGAGTCTGAGAGAGTCTTCTCACAATAAAGTTTGGAGGCTGGGTCATTTCCATTTTTTAGCCAATTCCAACTGGCTTCTCAGTTTTTACCTGTCTCCAATGGCTAAGGCTTTTAGAAAACCTCTGTTTTCTATTTAATTGTGGAAATAGGAATTATGAAGTTAGCATAAGCCACACGTGTGAAATGTGGTTTCATGTGATATGCACATATATATCAGCATCCAGAATACACAAAACAAAATCAGTCGTGCCATTTTTCCTATGCAAGCTCTGTGGAAAGGGTTCTAAATTTGATGTGCTTTAGGAATGCCAGAACTTTAATCACCACCAATGGGCATGCACTCTTAAATGTAACTCTGTTGTTAATGTCATTAAATCAAAGGACAAAAAGACCTGCCTAAATAATTACCATGAGAATTTACCACAATTATGAAGGCCAGATTAGATTTTTTATCATCTTCTATTAGGCTTATAGTTTGTTGTAAGCCAACTGCTATTTTTTTTTTTTTTGAGAGAGAGAGAGAGAGAGAGAGAGAGAGAGAGAGAGAGAGAGAGATCTTAATATTTATTTTTTAGTTTTCGGTGGACACAACATCTTTATTTTATTTTTATGTGGTGCTGAGGATCGAACCCAGCACCCCACGCATGCCAGGTGAGTGCATTACTGCTTGAGCCACATCCCCAGCCCCCAACTGCTATTTTTATTCATTTCTATTATTATCTCTCCCCAGCCATCATAAGAAATAAACAAACAAATAAATGAATAAACACATACTTGCTTTACAAAATTGCTCCTGGGTCAATTTCTTTATAATTTGGGTATAGAGGACAGCTTTCTATGACTCAAGCTCTGGGTGCAACAAAAGATAAGATTTCAAATCTTTTGATATAACTAAATAAAAACAAATTTTTGCACAGCCAAAAACACCATGTGCAAAAAACAAATAGCAAATAGTGAGAAAGATACCTGCAACTGTTATCACAGAGCTAAATGAGTTTTTAAACACGGAGGAAAGGGTTGGGGATGTAGTTCAGTGGTAGAGCATGTACTTAGCAACGTGCCTGGATTCAACACCTAGCACCACAAAAGTAAAACAAATGAACAACACAGAGAGAAAAAAACAACCACACACACACAAATTCTATAAAACAGTCAAAAGCCACGGAGCAGACAATTCACACACATACACAAAATACAAAAATTGGCCCCTTCCCCAGCACCACTGTAGAGGTATATGGCAAAAAAGTGGCCCTTAAGCATACAGAAATAAGGTCAGCTTTACTCTGTTTTGGGTAGGGTGAGGCAGTAGTTGGACTTGAACCCAGGCCCTTGCATATGTTAGGCAGGACTCTTACCACTGAGCTACATCCTCAGCCCTTTAAAAATTTTTATTTTGAAACAGGATTTTTGCTAAATTGTCCAGACCAAGCTTTGAATTTGTGATCCCCCTGCCTTGGCCTCCCAAGTATTCAAGTGGTAGGGGTACAGTGCACCCAGTTGTAACTTCACATTTATTTATTTATTTGATTTTGTGCTGGCGTATGGGGGATTGAATCCTCTGCTCTATTATTAAATCCTTTTATTTTCTGATTTTGAGGCAAGGTCTCACTAAATTGCCCATGCTGGCTGCAAACTTGTTCGCTTGTTGTTGTGGTTCACCTGCCTCAGCCTCCAGATGCTGCTGGGATTCCAAACCTATACTCTACCCTTTTTAATATTGTATTTATAGATGGTCTTGATAAGATGCTCAGGGCCTTGCTTTTAAGTTGCTGAGGCTGGTTTTGAACTCTCAATCCTCCTACCTCAGCCTCCCAAACTGCTGGGATTACAGGTGTAACTTCACTCTTAATAATAAAAATATATATATAAAAAACAGGGCATGGTGGCAAACACTTGAAATTCCTGTGACTGGAGATTGAGGCAGGAGGACCTCAAGTTCAAGGCCAGCCTCCACAACTTAGTGAAATCCTATCTCAAAAATAAAAATTAAAAATAAAACAAGTTGGGGGCTGGGCTGTAGCTCAGCAGTAGAGTGCTTTCCTCACACATGTGAGGCACTGGGTTCGATCCCCAGCACCACATAAAAATAAACAAACAAAATAAAGATTAAAAAAATTTTTTTAAATAAAATAAAAAAAATAAAACAAGTTGGGAATGTAGCTTGGTGGTAACTCTCTCTCTATATATATATACCAAATGCTCCTGAGTTTGATCCCTAGTACCACATTAAAGAGAGAGAAAAAATACAAATTAAAACTAGACAGATTAATTTCTCACTGACCAGAGTGATTTAAAAGTAATAAAATTGACAAAACTTGGAACAAGGCTGTGGGCAAAACTACTACCCTCATATGTTCCTGGGGGAAGGAGAATTTGATGGTACCTAACAAAAATATATGCATTTACATAAAACAAGAGCTTTTGCACAGCAAAAGAAACAACAGAGTAAAGAGGCAAACTATTAAATAGCAGAAAATATCGAAAAACTATACATCTGATAAATGGTTAATATCCAAAATATATGAGGAACACAACTCAAAAGCAAAAAATCAGATTTTAAAATGGACAAAGGAACTGAATATTCATTTCTCAAAAGAACACATACAAATGAACAACTGATATATGAAAAGAAATGCAATTAAACCAGAATGATGTATCACCTTATACCTGTGAGAATGGCTATTAGCAAAAACATGGAATACAACTTTTGGTGATGAGAAAAGGAAAACTTTGTATACTCTTGGTGGGAGGTACATATATTAGTACCGCCATTATGGAAGATAATGGAGATCCTTCAAGAAATTAAACAATAGAACTAACATCTGCTTTAGCAATCCACTCCTGAATATATACCAAAGGACTTAAAATCAATATGCTGAAGAGACAAGTGCACTCCCATGTTTGCTGCAATATCAGTTACAATAGCCCAGATATGGAATCAATCTAAGTGTCCCTTAATAGATAAATGGATAAATAAAATGTAGTATTATATGTAATATAATATAATTTCCCTTAAAAGGGAAATACGGTCATTTATAGCAACCTGGATGGATCTAGAGCAGATTATGTTAAGTGAAATAAGTCAGACATAGATAAATACCACATGATTCCACTTCGATGTGGAATCTCAAAAATTTGAACTCATGGAAGCAGAGAGTAGAATGGTGGTTACTGGTTACCACAGGCTGCGGGTAGAAGTAGGGAGATGTTGATCAAAGGTTATAAAACTTCAGTTAGACAGCAGGAATGAGTTCAAGAGTTCTATTGTATACTATGATGACTGTATTTAATAACAAAATAATAGATACCTGAAAAATCACTGAGTAGTTTTAAGGAGTAGGTATTAAGGACCGAACCCTGAGCCTTTAACATGCTAGGGAAGAGCTCTACCTCTGCTACATCCCTTGCTCTTTATATTTGAGACAGGATCTCATTAAGTTGCAAAGACTAGCCTCAAACTTGCTATCCTTCTGTCTCAGTCTCCCAAATAACTGGGATTACAAACCTGTGCCACCATAATCAGCTAAGAGAGATTTTTGAATGTTCTCATCAAAAATTGTATGTGAAGTAATGTATGGAGTTAATAAATTCAAATTTATCCACTCTATAATGTATTCCTATTTCAAAATATCACGTACAAACAGAAGGTCAATTTTTGTCAATTAAAAAAGGCATGCATGCTAGGTTCAGCAGTGCACATCCATAATCCCAGTGGCTCAGGAGGCTGAGGCAGGAGGATCATGAGTTCAAAGCCAGCCTTAGCAAAAGTGATGCATTAAGCAATTCAGTGAAACCCTGTCTCTAAATTAAAATACAAAATAGGGCTGGGGATGAGGCTCAGTGGTTGAGTTCAATCCCCAGAACAACAAAAAATAAAAAGGCATGCATTTACCAGTTGACATAGCAGTCAGAATATACACATCCAACAATACAATACACACGGACACACATATGTTATTTGTCATCATGATATTGGAATCTATTAACCAATAATAAAAGATTCATTGAGCCAGGTACACATGCCTGAAATCTCAGTAACTCAGAAGGCTGAGGTATGATGACCATAAATGTAAGGCCATCTTGGGAAATTTGATGAGATTCTCAAAATAAAAAATAAAAGGATGGGGATGTAACTCAATGATAGTGTCCTGAGGTTCAATTCCTAGTACCACTCCCCTGCCCTGCAACAAGGGGGTGGGTTTCATTGAATGAAATAGAATATATTCACATAATAGAGTACTACACAAATGGAAAAAGAATGAAGACAAACTCGATGAAATGATATAGCATTATTTAAAATATATTGGTAAGTGAAAAAAAATTATAAAAAAGTATTTAAGTAAGCTACCTTTTTTATAAGAAAAGCAATAAGAAACACAGAAAGGACAAACCAGAAACTAATGAGATCATTTACCTACAAGAGAGGGAGGACTAAGGAAAGGTACTACTAGGTATACTTTTTTGTATAGCTGATAGTGTAGACAATGTTCTACATATCAAAACACATAAAAACTGATGGGGGGAATGTCAAAGGACACAGAAGCCTGCTTGGAAGGGACTCCTATTGGCCAAATCAGGAATAATGTAAGCATCACAACAGACAGCAATAAATTATAATTCACTGAGTAAAATCATGAGTCCAGGTTGATTAAAAATAATAATAATAATAATAATAATGAAGTCTGGGCTTAGTGGTGCACATCTATAATTCCAGCAATTCAGGAAGCTGAGGCAGAGGGATTCCAAGTTTGAGATCAATCTCAGCAATTTAGCAAGGCCCTAAGAACTTAGCAAGACCCTATATCAAAATAAAACATAAAAATAGAGCTGGGGGTCTAGGGTTGTGGCTCACTGGTAGAGCTCTTGCCTAGCATATGTAAGGCAATGGGTTCGATTCTCAACGCCACATATAAATAATAAAATAAATTTCATTAAAACCTAAAAAAATTAAATAAAGGGGGGGTCAGTGTTGGGGATGTGGCTCAGTGGTTAAACAACTCTGGGTTTAATTCCTGGTACCAAAAAAATAAAAATAAAAGAAAGAAAGAAAAAAGAAAAACAGAGTAGGAAAATAATTCCTTACACTGGAATATCAATAAAACAGAAGAAATAAATTAAAAAACCAACTCTCCACAGTCATTACAATAAAAATGGATTTAGGCAAAGAACACACATGGACGCCAAAGGCAGAGACAGGAATGACAGAGTGATGAGGAACAAAAATTTACACAGCCTCAATGTATTTCTCTACAAATTATTAATGAGAAAAGCAAAAACAGTAAATTTCACTAAGAGCTTAACACTAACATGAATAATAACCCTAACCTCTGGAAGTAATACTCTGAGAAGGGAACATCATTTTACATAGTATTCTAGCCAAAAAATGCATATCTTGAATCTAACTGTAAGAAAATAGACAAACACAATTAAGAGAAATTCTCTACAATAACTGGCCTGTAGTCTGCAAAAATGTCAATGCCATGAAAGACAAACAACTGTACCAGATAAAAGGTGATTAAGAGAGCTGGGCACAGTGGTGCACACGTTTAATTCCAGCGGCTCAGGAGGTTGAGGCAGAAGGTTTGCAAGTTTGAGGCCAGCCTGGGCAATTTAGCAAGATTCTGTCTCAAAATAAAAAATAAAAAGGCCTGGAGATCAGTGCAGAGGTCCTAGGTTAAATTTCCAGTATTAAAAAATTAATTAATTCTTATAAACTTGACAGAGTACTTTCTTTTCTTAGGAAACAAACTGGTAAAGAGAACTGGTGCATTTGACTTAACTCTCAAATGGTTTTGGAGAAAAAAAGAATGATAAAGCAAACGTATAGAACATTAAAATTACTAAAACAATGAATGTAGACGAGTTTTCTGTAGGTATTAAATTACTTCAAAATAAGTACAAAGTGGCTTCTGAAAGTCAAGAATGATATGGTTTCTCTTATGTGGAAGTTAGAAAGGAAAAAGGAAAAGAAGGGGGAATCTGCTGAAAAAAAGGGAGATCAGTAGGTAGAGAAAAGGGACAACAGGTAGGAAAGAGGGAAGGGAAAGGGGAAATACTGAGGAACGATATTGGCCAAATTATATTGTTTATATCATGTGCATGTATGAATAGGTAATAACAAATCTCCCCATTACGTGTAATCATAAAGTACCAATAAAAAACGTGGAAAAAAGAAAGTGGCTTCTGAGACACAATCATGTATTATATGTTATTCAACATCCAGTACTGTCCTATCAAAAATTTGTTTAATAACATGAGATAACAGACAACTTGTTCATTCTAATTACTGATAAATAGATCCATTTCTGATAAATAATTTGGAAACCATCATTTCTAATGTACCTGGTATCAATGTCAGCCGCCTGGATTGTGTTAAATAGCAATTCAGCAACACCGACTCCCTCAACATTGATCAAATGAGGCTGAAATAAAGCTTCTGGTGCTTCAAATCTCTCTCCCCCAACTTTAATAATGCGTCCATCTGGGAGCTAGAAACAAAGAATAACCAGGTTCTAGTCTCAGCCAAATATTCTCCAGAACGTCAGTACTTTTAAACATTAGTACTTTACAGTATTCTCTAGATACATTAGTATATTCTATAACTAAAATTGTTAAAAGCAATTAATTTTTTTTCTAGAACTTTTTTTATTAGTTGTTTAAAACATTACAAAGCTCTTGACATATCATATTTCATACATTTGATTCAAGTGGGTTATGAACTTCCATTTTTACCCCGTATACAGACTGCAGAATCACATCGATTACAATCCACGTTTTTACATACTGCCATACTAGTGTCTGTTGTATTCTGCTGCCCTTCCTATCCCCCCTCCCCTCCCCTCCCATCTTCTCCCTCTACCCCAGTACTGTAATTCATTTCTCTCGTTTTTTTCCCTTTCCTAAAAGGTTTTTTAAAAAAAGGGAAATTAAAATTTATTTAGATTCTTATTATTATGCTCTATTTTACATTTAAAAATGTATGTCACAGGGGCTGAGGCTGTAGCTCAGTGGTACAGTGCTTGTCTCACACATGTGAGGCACTGGGTTTAATCCTTAGCACTACATAAAAATAAATAAAGATATTGTGTCCATTAAAAAAAAAGTATGTCACAGCTGGGCACGATGGTGCATGCCTATAATCCCAATGACTGAAGAGGCTGATGCAGGAAGATCACAAGTTCAAAGCCAGCTTCAGCAACTTGGAAAGGCCCTAAGCAACTTAGCAAGACCCTATCGTCAAAATAAAAAATAGAAAACAGCACCCCTGGATTCAGTCCCTGGTACAAGTACGCCATGCTCCCAAATAGCAGGAATTTCTTAGAGAACTCATCAGTACATATGTGCCTGACATCCATCTGTGTGCAGCAAAGCAGTATTGAACAACTACAAAATTCTCATTGCTGATATGTGTTAATGCTTATTGTTTTAAATTTTCAATACATTTGTGATTTCATACACAATAAACTTTTTTTTTTGGTACTAGGGATTGAACCCAGAGGTGCTTAACCACTGAGCCCCACCCCTGGTCCCTTTAAAAAAAATTTTAAATTTTTTTAAATAAAAATAAATGGGTCTCATTAAGATGCTTAGGGCTTTACTAAGTTCCTGAGGACAGCCTCAAACTTGTGATTCTCCTGTCTGAGCCTCAAGTTGCTGGGATTATAGGCTTGTGCCATCATGCTCAGCTCACAATAAACATTTTTAATAATTTTCTTTCGGGCTGGGGCTGAGTGATAGAGCACTTGCCTAGCATGTATGAGGCACTGGGTTGGATTCTCAGCACCACATAAAAATAAATAAATAAAATAAAGATATTATGCCTATTAAATAAATAAATAGATTTCTTTCATCAAATAACTAGTCTGTGAAACTATTACACTTTACCACTGTGTTATATCTCCAACCCTTTAAAAAAAAATTTTTTTTTTTTTGGTGCTGAGGATCAAACCCAGGGCCTCATGCATGCTAGGCAAACACTCTACCACTAAGCCATATTCCTAGCCTAAATTTTTTATTTTGAAACAAGTTCTTACTGAATTGCCTAGACTGACCTCAAACTCCTTGCCTTAGCTTCCTAAATAGGTGGAATCACAGGCTTGCACCACCATGTCCAGCTTGGATACTAATTCTCAAATAATTTAATCCAAAAAATGTTCACCATCAAAAAAATGAACACTGGGCTGGGGATGTGGCTCAAGCGGTAGTGCGCTCGCCTGGCATGCGTGTGGCCCGGGTTCGATCCTCAGCACCACATACCAGCAGAGATGTTGTGTCCGCCGAGAACTAAAAAATAAATATTAAAAAATTCTCTCTCTCTCTCTCTCTCCTCTCTCACTCTCTCTTTAAAAAAAAAAAAAGTGAACACTGACGTAGACTACTCTTTATAGGCTATTTTGTTATATCCTATCAGGATATAAATTCTTAAAAAACTGCTGAATACAATTTTAGTTTAAACCAGTAAGATTTAAATAACAGATCCCATATCATATCATGACCTGTGTAGAAAACTCTTAGGTCACACCATGTTTATATTTAATTAAATCAGAAATGTGAACTAGAAACTCTTATATTACACCTGACAACTTACTAGATTGATATAAGCAACAATATATGCTCATGAATGCTGGCATTAGATGCATTTCTGAGATATCAGAATTTTCTTTATATTCATATTTTAACAGAATACTTATTGATAAGTAATACATAAATTTATAATCATACTGTAACTATAGTTTTCTAACTATATTTATTATTTATATTTAAAATGACAATGAAGCACAAAACAAACATATTCCTTAAAACAGTGGCTGCTGAAGTTATTTGCAGATACGTGCAGAAAAATTACACGTATCTTATATTTGTTCACCCAGACTTGTACTTTTTACTCACTAGTTTACTATTTTTACACTTCTATGTATTTTTGTAACCTATCTCAAATTGTTTGAAAAAGAAGGAAAGATTTGCATTTTTAGTTCTCTTATCATTTGCCTTGTGCCACTTTCTTTCCAAACAATTCAGGTAAATGGCAAATAAGAAATCTACAGAAACTGTTGAGAGAAGATTTCAAGAATGAATCTCAAAGGCAAATTTGGAGATCATTTAGTTATAAAGTGGATTTTATTGTGTATTTGGAACAGTATCATAATAAAAAAATTATAAACATTTATAATTACTTTAAAAATAACTATTTGGGGCTCATTCAAAACCCTAGTTCAAACCCAGCACTATAAAAACAAAATAAAAAGCTGATGAAGATAACCTCCTTAAATTGTTATCAATAACTATGCCTGTTCATTTATAAACTGAATCTATATTATACACTGGATATACTTACTGTATAAGATTCAACTAATACTGTGGTTTCTAACGCCAGTTTCTGCTCCTGCTCAATATTGTATCCCACATAACACAGTTTTTCTTTAATCATGCGAACAGTTTCAAAATCAGCAGAATGGTTGAAGGCGTATCCTCTCAACAGAAGCAGCTGGTACAAAAGAAAAAAGAAAAAAAGAAAGAAAACACAGCAGAAGGTTCATAATAGGCTGTAATGAGTTCTACTCTGCAAAAGATATTAATGCTCATAAAATGACACATCAATTGCAAATACAATGGCAGTGTATCCTTGGTTCCTACTGAATATTGAAGTGGGAATTTTATCTGCTTTAAGAGGATATATATTTCAATTTCACAGAGAGTAAAAAAATTAACAGTTCATGAATAATAATTTGGTAAAATAAATTAGAAAAAAGTTTTACTTGCTCATGAACAATCAAAACTATATAATGAATAAATACTATGTTAGTAGTAGACTTCTGTAGCCTGCAATTTGCTTATTCTATCAATGCCATGTTTATAAAATTCCCCAGGTCCTAGAGAGTTTTATCTTTGACTTTTAGTACCATGTCTGGCACTATTGGTAGGACAACAGAATTTGTTAAGTGAATAAAAATTGTCAGGATACTTGAATCTCTTAGTTTATACTTCTTCCTCCCTCACTCTGTTTTCTTAGAGATGGGGTCTGTTTATTTTGCCCAGGCCAGCCTTGAACTCCTAAGTACAAGTGATCTGCCTCAGCCCAAGCATGTAGGACTACAAACATGTGCCAGTGAACCTAGCTCTTCATTTCTTAAGTGATAAGAAATATTAAAAAAGCAAACTACCTAGAGATAATAACTTAATAAGCCTCATAAACACAACAAGACTTTGTGAAGTCCTCTAATCTTTGTGTTTATATTCAAAATAGGACCCACAGAAACTCTGCTGGTTACCTAAGAATTTGGGCCTAGAATGAGTATTAAAATTCTCATTAATTTGGGCTGGGATTGTGGCTCAGAGGTAGAGCGCTCACCTAGCATGCTTGAGGCACAATAAAGATATTGTGTCCACCAAAAACTAAATATTAAAAAAAAAATCTCATTAATTTCATCTCCTTACATGAAGAGGATTACTGTAAATGAGACTAAAGGAACCCAATGTCAAGGTAAAGACTTAATGCAACCTATGTTGATGCACAGTCAGCATTTCTCAATAGTAGCAAATAATATATTCTTATTAGTATACCAGAAATCATAAACGGAAATCTTATGTGTATTTTTACATGAATAATGGATAACTGGGTAACTTCTCTGATGGAGATTATCTAGAATCCTTATACACTGAATTTTGTGTTAAATCAGTAAACAAACTACTAAAACTAGTATTTTCCTTTCACTTACCTTGATAAGATATCTGGTAATATCTCTCCCAGCAATATCCAGTCTCCTGGTAAGATGAGGGAGAGAAAAACCTTCATACACTGGGCAAATGTGAGTTACACCATCTCCAGAATCCACTACTACACCAGTCAATAAACCTGCACAAAAACCAGGAGGTTTTAAATAAAAAGTCAAGTCAGAAAAATCAAAGATGACAAGTTTCAATATAGTGTAGAAGTCAAATGAGAAAATTAACCAAATGAGAAAGGTCTAGTAGAAGTCAGCACTTCTTTTTTATTTACTTATTTTGCAATTTGTTTGTAATACATAGATATTAAAGTTAGTGTTCTCTTGTGGGACTTATAGTATAATCATGTCTCTCCTCCCTAAGGAAATGGAAAGAAACAAACCCTGAGACCTAAATTACTAAAGCTCAGTACAATTCTTAATTTTTCCTTCCAATTTAGCCTTTTTTTTTTTTGTACTGGGGATTGAATCCATGAGTATCTTACCACTGAGTCACATCCCTGCTCCTTTTATTTTTCAGACAGAGTCTCACTAACTTGCTTAGTTGAGTTGCTGAGATTGGCCTTGAACTTGTAATCCTCTTGACACAGCCTCCAAATTTGCTGGGATTACAGGTGTGACTGCACCTGGCTCTTCCAACTTAATCTTTTTAAAAAAAATTTTTTTATTTTTTAGTTTTAGGTGGATACAATATCTTTATTTTATTTTTATGTGGTGCTGAGGATCGAACCCAGTGCCTCATAGGTGCTAAGCAAGCACTCTACTACTTGAGCCACAACCCCAGCTCCTCCAACTTAATCTTGATCACTGACTTTACTAAAAGTAAACTTTTCTAAAGCATCATGGATAGCTTCTTTAAAAATCACTGTGAAAAAACACTGGGGCTTTGGATGTGGCTCAAGTGGTAGTGCACTCACCTGGCATGCGTGAGGCACTGGGTTTGATCCTCAGTTCCACATAAAAAAAAAATAATAATAATAAAGATATTCTGTCCATCTAAAACTAAAAAATAAATATTAAAAAAATTGTAAAAACTGCACAAAATAACAAGTTGACCCGTCAACCTGTTGAAATCATATAATCCTTTACTGTTTTTTGGACACACAGCACATTCAAAATGGTTATTTTAGAAATGTCTACTAATACTGGATGGCTAGACTACTGAGAAACAATTAAGCTTGTCTAGCCAAAGTATTAGTTCAATTATTCACCCAAAACCAGAAAAACACTGCTGGTTCTACTTTATAATAAAAGAAGAGCAGAGAAGCCACTTGGCTTCTCATGTGTTCTACAGGAAAACAAAAATGGCTGCAAAAAGTTCCACCTTCTGCAACAGGGGGAAAAAACTTTTTTTTTTCATATATATGTTTTTTCTTGTGGTGCTGGGAATTGAACCCAGGGCCTTGTGCATGCAAGGCAAGTACTTTTTACCAACTGAGCTATATTCCCAGCCCTTTTTTCCTTATATTTTTTAATAGAAAAAAATTAAACCAAAATATACATTATTTATAAGTTTACTCTTACTTTACTATTTACTTATCCCTAAATAGGCTCTTTCCTCTTTCTTATTAGTGTAAGTTTGCATGTGCTATAGTATCTAATTGTTTTTTAATAAACTTATTCAACTACCTCCATTTTTTTTTTTTTTTTTTATGTGTTGGGTACCAGGGATTGAGTTCAGGGGCACTCAATCACTAAGCTACATCCCCAGCCCTATTTTGTATTTTATTTAGAGACAGGGTCTCACTGAGTTGCTTAGTGCCTTACTGTTGCTAAGGCTGGCTTTGAACTATTGATCCTCCTCAGCCTCCCAAGCTGCTAGGGATTACAGGCAAGCACCACCATGCCCAACAACTACCTCTATTTTTAAATTGATATATATATATTTTTTTTTTACCTGTGGTATTAGGATTAAACCCAGGGCTCTATCACTGAGCTATATCCACAGCCCTTTTTATTTTTCATTTTGAGACAGGGTTGCTTAGTATCTCACTAGGTTGCTGATGCTAGCCTTTAACTTGTATGTTCCCACATCAGCCTCCTTCGTGGCAGGGATTACAGGTGTGTGCTGCTGAGCCTGGCCTGAAAGTTGTTTTTAAGAAATGAAATAAAATTACCTAGTTGCAGACAAGCACTCCCTCCCTTACACGAAAGTGATTTTTTTTCCTCCTCCTTCAAAGGAAAAGTTTCTCATAGCTGGACTAAAATCACCTTAAGAACAAAGAGACCATGTCTCTTTCTCTGCTATATCCTTTGTTCTAAACAGTGCAAGACACACACTACATTTCGTGAATAAATAAAGCTTCGTTAAAAATTTAACCCAAGGGCTGGGGATATGGCTCAAGCGGTAGCGTGCTCGCCTGGCATGCGTGTGGCCCGGGTTCGATCCTCAGCACCACATACAAAGATGTTGTGTCCGCTGAAAACTGAAAAATAAATATTAAAAAAAAAAAAATTCAAGCCAAGTATTTTCTATGTATCTATATATAGTACAAAAGGTATTTTTTAAACCCAAAATGTATTTTCCAAGTTTTTACTAACCTATGAGTAAAACCAAATAAATCACCATAAAGTTAAATTCTTCATTTCTGAATTTTTGTTCTCCCCGTAACTTCCTTGTGAAGCCAGAATTAGATAGGCAGTCAGTGTAGATAGGTAAATTGAGTCAGGTCAGGTCAAGGAGGCCAATTTTGAGTGAGTCTGGGAAGTTGGAGACTGTCCCCTGAGGAATCTTATCAAGAACCTGCCCCTGCTCCAACCTGTTGCCAAGGTAACCTGTCCCAGGGAGCTGCTTTAAGGTTGTTAATGTGTCCCTGTCTACTCCATCCTACCCTTCCCCCTTCAGCTCACCTGTTTCCCACCTTTAATGCCATCCCAAGAAGCATTCCTGGACCTAGTCATATAAGCAGGAAGGAGAAAGATAAGGGGGGAAAGGCAGAACACCTCGCCTCTCGGGATACCATGATACCAGCTATGGCCCCCTTTTCCCTCACGGGAGAAGTCTATGTTACCCATTTTTAAATAAGCTCTGCATCATATGCTTGTCTCCGTGTGCTTCTCTAATGTTCAAACTTCAACAGGTGGGGAAGCAAGGCTTGTCACCCGATAACCGGTGATATCACTTGAGGGCATCTTTTACTTCAATGCCTAAAAGACTCCTTGGCACATATTTGATAGCACCATAAATTCTCAATAGTTCTTGTTGAACTTACAAAGCCATCAAAATATAAAGGGCTCTCCCCACATGGCCACTATCTGATTCTCAATAAATAAGAAGGCAGGGTATGGCAATACCAAGAGAACATAGTAGATCTGAAACAGACCACCACAGGGATAAAGAGCAAATGCACTCCTGGGCCTTATTAACTCATGGCCTGACAGTCATTAAAAGATAGTATAATGTTTTTTCTCTCTTCTCTCACCTTCATTCATAACTTGTTAACTATTAAAAGCTTGGTACATGCCTTACCCACTCCCTTCAAACAACCATATCAGCTTCAGAGACCAGGTGCATCATTAGGGCCAAAACACTCTTGCCATGACTCTCTGACAACACAAAAGATTAAAACTGCTAAGGACTGAGCCCTTAAATTGTTATTTGCCATGATTTTGTGTTCTCTTACATTTCCCATCCATGTGTTCTCGTAACAGCTATAACATCTCATCCTTATCACAAGACAGAGATGTTTATACAGAATGTGGCATTAGTATGAAAACCTGTCAATACTCTTCCATGATGACTGCTGACAGTGCCTTCCTCAGAGTTAAGATGCTCTCACAGGAAAAGAAAAGCACACTTTTGAAAGGTACCTAAAGCCAATTAACATTCCTAAGCCTTACCCTCTCCTTCCAAACAGCCCTTTCACAGGAATAAAACTCCCTTTGTTCCAGAGGCTGCCTAGTTTTTCTCTTATGAGAAGCCCTAATAAAAGCTTTAAATTTCTTTGTTCTCTGTCCTGACTTGTTTTCCTTTCTAGAGTCACAAAGTCAATGTTCCAGTGTCTGCCACCAGTCTTTCATTAAATCCACCTCAAAAAATACGAACCCCAAATGTCCTTCTTTTCCCTTTTATTCCTCCTATTTTATATCTTGACAAGTCTGATTTTTAGGCTAATCTATTAGATGTGTGTGTGTGTTTGTGTGTATTTTTTAAATTCAAGCCAATTGTTAAGATAATTCCATTTTATTTTCTTCTGCATAAAAAATTAAAATAGCTTAAGAGGGAATATCCCTTTTTTCAAACTGGTCTTGGGTTGGGGATGTAGTTCAGTGGCAAAGAACTTCTCTAGCATGCTTAAGACATTGTATTCTATCCCTAGCACTGGCCCCCTTCACCAAAAATTGGTGAATTGCTTTAAATCTTCCTGTGCAGTAAAGCAAATAAAAGTATATGATATTTTATTTGAGAAATAACAAATTGTGAAAATATTTCAAAGTGTGGTATATAAATAATGTGATTTTTCTGGGATTTCTAACTTAATGAGAAATCAAATTTCTCTGGCATAAGATTAATGGTGAATTAATTTTTCTAACAGTTAAGTATTACCTACCTTGAGCATACAAAGTCAGAACTGCCTGGATGGCTACATACACACCAGAAAACTGGTAAGTTTCAAACATTACCTGAAAATGTAGGAAAAAAAAAAGTGGTATTTACAAAGATGCATAATATATATTTATATGCTTTCTTTATGCTCATAGAGAGGATCAGTTGACCAAATAGAATTAAAGGGACCTGAACAGTCATCCATTCTAAACAGTTTCTCCTGCCTCTATAAACTCCTGCTGTCACAGAGCTCCAATGCTGACCATAATTTTTTAGATACATACTAAATCTCCAAGCATTCATAAGTGCTACAAAACAAAGATTTCTGAGAGTATTATAATTAGTGGCTAATTAGTGTGACAGAAAGCTTCCTGCACTTCAGCCTTGCAGTTAAAAACAAAGAAGTATGGACTGGGGTTGTGGCTCAGTGGTAGAGTGCTTGTCTTGCACATGTGAAGCTCTGAGTTCAATCCTCAGCACCACATAAAAAAATAAATAAAGATTTTGTGCCCAACTACAACTAAAAAAATATTAAAAAACAAAGAAGTAGAGTTGGGGATGCAGTTTAATAGTAGAGTGCCTAGCATGCAAGGGGCCCTGGATCCAACCAATTCCTACAAACAACACACACACACACACCCTAAAATCATGAAATAAAATGAGATGAAGACTTTTATTAACTGTGTTAATAAGATGGCAGATAAAGAAATTGCTTAGCTGCAGAGCAGATGGTCCCATCATTGAACCAAGCCTATAACTCCTCTCTCCTCCCCATGAACTACACAGGAGGAGGGAGTTTCCTTTTGCCCTCTCCAGTCACACTTATTCTCTGCAGCCCAGGTCAGCTGGAATAACTTGCATTTCTTTTACCAATAGTCTCTAGTGCGCATGACTCATAGGGTCAACTGTCACTAAGAATATCTAGATACTTACAAATTTTACAATGGATCACAATGAGAATTATATAGAACTTAAATTCATATTATATATGTGCACATACCAACTTGAAAGTCTGTTAAAATTTATTTATAAAAGAAAAAAAGAAGAAATAAATAAGGAAAAAAATTTATTTATATTTATAAGACTATTCAAGTACTTGTGGGTGGCAGATGTGGCTCAGTAGTACAGTACTTGCTTAGCATACGTAAACCCCTGGGATAAATCCTAAGCAAGTCCCCCCACACACAAAAAAAAAGTGTACAAAACTTAATACAAAAATTAAGTTTTAGCTTGAAATGGTAATGAATACCTAGTCTCTAGCTACCCAGGAGGCTACCAACAGGAGGACCATTGAGCCTGTCCATTCAAAAAAACAACAAAAAAAAAATTGAGTTTTCATTGTCTAAAACTATAAAATGTCATCTAACAAAAAATTTCTTCTAACCCTTTTCCAAAATTTTCTTCAACATCTAAATATATTCAGAGTAAAACAAATTATGTAAAAATTGGTTCATTTACATTGCATAGCAAATAGCAAGCTACTAAGATGTAGAAAGTTATCAAAAGTTTCTACATCATATAACAAAATGAAAGAAAAACTTGAAACTTTACCTATTAGAAATGTAGCTCTCCTGCTCTTTCTTCTCAAAGAAGTCCATACTTCTTTGTTTTACTGTATTTGTCTTCTCAGTTTCCCGCTGGATTCTCCGATCTCTCTGGTTTTTAGCCCTTTCACCCGTCTACTCTCACTGTGGCGAACAGTATGATCCTGAAGGCTCTCAAGTTTATATCTCCAGCCTGAACTCGATCTTGTATCTACAACTGTATCTTTGACATTTCTGCTTTGATGTCTAATGACAGCCTTAAACTTAACATATCGAAACTGAACTCCCGGTCATTTGCCTTAAATTCTTAGCTGATGGTAACTATGTCCTCTAGTTACTAAAGTCAGAACCTTCCTGACAACCCCACATCCAAAGCATCAGAAAATTCCTGTACATAATCTGATCACCTCTCACACTTCTGCTGTTATCCCTGATCTTAACCATCATTATCTTTTTTTTTTTTTTTTGGTACCGGGGATTGAACTCAGGGCACTCGACCACTGAGCCCCATCCCCAGCCCTATCTTTTTTTTTTTTTAATATATTTTTATTTTTTAGTTTTCGGCACGCTCGCCTGGCATGCATTCGGCCAGGGTTCGATCCTCAGCACCACATACAAACAAAGATGTTGTGTCCGCTGAAAACTAAAAAATAAATATTAAAAAAATTCTCTCTCTCTCTCTCTCTTAAAAAAAAAAAAAAATGCCAAAATGTTCCAACTTTAAGACTCACATTGGCTATTCCTTTCTGCCTGCAAGGCTCTTCCCCTATATATCCTGGCTAATTCCCTTACCAGTCTTTGTTTAAACATCATTTTTAGATAGAGGCCTATTACCACAACTTGTCTACAACTGCAACTGCCCACTTTCCTTAACTTACTCTATAGTTTTTCTTTTAGCACCTATTATGTCCTAACAACAACAACAACAACAAAAAGCCTATATTCCCCTGCTAAAATATAAACTTCACATCATCAGGATTTTGTTTATTAATATATCCCACTTAGAGTAATAAAGACTTGCATATTCAAGTTGAGTATCCCTTATCTGAAATGCTTGGGACCAGAAGCGTTTCAGGCTTTGAATATTCACAGACTTTACCAGTTGAGCATCTAATCCAAAATTCCAAAATCTAAAATGCTGCATAGTCCAAAACTTCTTAAGCATCATGCCATGCTCAAAAAGTTTTAGATTACATATTAGGAATGGTCAAACTATAGAAAATGCAAAATAAATTATTTTTATTCCCTTTATCCATAGGAACTATGGTAAGAAAAAAGAATTTTTGATTTAATATAACATCACAAAGACACACATATGCATATCCCATCCAAAAACTTACCTCTACAATCTTCTCTCTGTTTTTGGTAGGATTCATAGGAGGTTCTGTGAGTAAGATTTTACAATTTCTGGTATCTATGTTAAGTTTCTCTGGTCCAAAGGTATAATCCCACAGATGTTTCATGTCATCCCAATTTCGTACAATGCCATTTTCCATAGGATAGTTAACTTCTAACATAGATCGTAATTCACTTGCCTCATCACCAACCATGAGATCCTAGAAAATGATAATATCAAAGTTTAAAACCAGTCAAATTTTTATATAAAGCAGCTTCAAAAAATTATATTCCCAAGATATTTCTGAAAACTTGGGAATAATTAATTTTAGACTTTTTGACACTTTTCAGATAAAGTTTTTATTCCACAAGTTAAAAATCTTTTTTTTTAAGAACAATGTCTTGCAAAGTTTAATCATGGATAATAAATTTTTATGTACTACATGGTTTAAATCAATAAATTGACCTTACCTTTAATATATATGTTTCCAAAAGAAGAACATTAGCACAAATAAACCCCATATTTTCATATTTTGGAGGGTTTTGTATGAGGTTTCATCTGTTTCTTTTGCTCAAATGTTCAAAAAATAAGTCCTGTGATATGTGAAATAGCACATCAGGGAAAAAAAAAAACTTGTAGAAAAATGCTCAATGCATGCAGCACATTTCTTTGTACTAAATATCAAAATAATAAATGTTAAGTACTACAAAACATAATTTTGAAAGAAGCAAAAATGATATTACTCTACAATAATGCATATATGTACCAATTAACTTGTAAATTTCACAAACTTCTCTCCAGATGTCTGAATTAAAATTTAAATAAAATTTCTACATATACTTTATCGAGATGAATGAAAAATCTGTATCAATATGAAAAATTAAAAACATAAGGAAACAACTCATTTTTAAAAATAATCTCAAGGACAACATTTTCAATCTTAAAGTCTAATACTAGAAATCTATGCTATCACAGAGGAAGCATAATACTCACAACTCTTGTCTCCAGTGAATGCATATTTAAGATGACCCACATTTAAAAAAAAAATCAAACTTTGTATAATAAGGCTAACAATGTCCTAGAATTAAAACTTATTTAGAACTTAGGTATGTGAGACATTAAATATTAATTTTTATATGTGCTGATGAATTCAATTTGGAAAATCAACATCAGATATAGTTACTATTCATTTAATACCAGTTCAAAATACAGGAAAATGAAGAAAAGCAGCAGCAAAGTTAACATGACTTAAGACAGAGCTTTGAAAAATGTGAGTTTTAAACTTAAGAAAAAATTAGATGTAAAACCAAGGTAAAGACCTATTAAAAAACAAAACTGATTTCTGACAAGTCCACTAATGAAACACCAAAAAGGGAAACAAAGTGAAAGCACACTAGAGATGCTCATTAAAACTTCATGTCGTAACCAATTTCTTATAAAGTTAATTTCCCCACAACTTAATATTCAAATTTCTTAAATACTAACTATTTAGAATCTTCGGGGGAAGAAAATGCAAAATTAAAAATTCTGTGTTTGTGAACTCTAACTAATGGCATGAATATGTTGAAGTATTTAGGGAAAATAATACTGATATCTGAAATCCATCCATACTGTTTTAAAATCCATCAAAACACATGATGATTTATTAGATATTTACTTGGACAGACATGATAAATCAGTATAATATACATTAACATCAGAATCCAGGTGACAGATATGAGCTTCACTATAACATTCTTTTGACACTGCAGCCAGGTGTGGTGGTGCAGTCCTGTCATCTTATGGACTCAGGAGGTTAAGGCAAGAGAATCGAAAGTTTGAGGCCAGCCTTAGCAAGGCCATAAGCAACTTAACAAGAAAACCTTGTCTCAAAACAAAAAAGGAAAAAATACATAAAAAGGGCTGGGAATGTAGCTCAGTGGTAAAATGTCCCTGGGTTCAATTCCCAGTTTAAAAAAAAAAAAAAAAGATCTTTTAACATTGTTCATGTTCTCAAACACTGTTTCACTGTTTAATAAAATGTTAGGGGGGATAAAAGTATACTTATAAGCACATATATTATTTTTGATCATTAACAAATCTAACTTAATACCTAATTTTGTTACTTACTTTCCTCTATAACAAAAATACTTTCCTTGTATTGTATGATCAATTAGATAATTATTTGTTTTATATTAGCTGGTTTATAATTATTATTTCAACCATTTGGAGTAAGTCTGACCTAATTTCAACAGAGTACTTAACTTTTATTCCACACAACAATAGGAATTTAAGTATGTCTGACCTAATGCCAACTTAAAATAAAAGCCTGTTCATGGGCTAGAGTTGTAGCTCAGTGGTAGAGTGCTTGACTAACATGTGTGAGGCACTGGGTTCAATTCTCAGCACCACATATAAATAAATAAATAAAATAAAGGTTCATAAAAAATGATTCAAAATTTAAAAATAATTTTTAAAAAGCCTGTTCGTGTATCTACTTCTATTACCACACATACCATAAAGAATTAACTGGGAAAAAAAATCAGTGCACTCTCTCTAAATATAAGACATTCTAAATGGAAGAAAATAAGTATTAGCTTATTTGAAAAATGCAAAATTTCTTGAGTAAAATTTCAATGCCAGGTGTGGGGTGCATGCTTGCTTATAACCCCAGCTATTCCAGAGCTTAAGGCAAGAGGACGCCAAGTTAAAGGCCGGCATAGGCAACTTAGTGAAACCCAGTCTCAAAGTAAAAAATAAAAAATAAAAAGGGATGGGGATGTATCTAGGTGGTAAAGAGCCTCTGGGTTCACATTCTAGTAGTGTTGAAAAACAAAAAACAAAAAGCTTAGAACAAACCACACTGGTAGCACATGCCAATAATGCCAGCTACTCAGGAGTCTGAGGAAGGAGAATTGAGAGTTTGAAGTCAGTCTAGCAATTTAGTAAGACCCTCTCTCAAAAAAATAAATAATCCTATGACACATAACCTTTCCTAGTACCCATTATCTTTTAAAAGTAAAAAATGTGCTAGGTGAGCCAGGCACATTGGCACACGCCTGTAATCCCAGCGGTTTGGGAGGCTGAGACAGGAAAATCTCAGTTCAAAGCCAGCCTCAACAATGGTGAGGTGCTAAGCAACTTAGTGAGATCCTATCTCTAAATAAAATACAAAATAGGGCTGGGGATGTGGCTCTGTGGCTGAGTGCCCCTGAGTTCAGTCCCCATATCCCTTCCAAAAAAAAAAAGTGCTAGGTGAGGTGGTACATGCCTGTAATCCCAACGACTTGGGTGGCTGATACTGGAGGATCAAAAGTTCAAGGCTAGCCTTGGCAAGTTAGCAAGATCTTGCTCAAAATAAAATATGCTCTTGAAAAGAGCTGGAGATTAGCTTAGTGGTAAAAGCACCCTGGGTTCAACCCCTAGTACCGAAGGTGGGGATGAAAAAAAAAAAAAAAGTTGTGTTCATGTGTTCAGTAACTTTCCCTCATACTTCAGAACAAAGTTATAAATAATCAGAGTAGGCTTTAGGTCTTTACCATCTGTCCCACAACCATCACCTTTTACTTGAAAGAATGAGAAATCATAGTAACTGGGAAGCTGTTTCAAAAGCACCTACACTTTACCAAAAGCAGATAGTACAGATTATATCTGAGAAGCAACCTTGTGAACAATGTCACTTTAAATTATAGAGAACAGAACAAATGCAAGCTTAAAACCACAATTACATCCCTACATACAAATCCTGCTTAAAAGAATCGTTAACTTAAGCCTACCCTATTCTCTATAGGTATAGCTTTTTAAAAAATCTCTTTAGGATTTTAAGACAAGTACATGATTTTTATTTAGGAAAAATATAGGAATATTCACTTTTAAATGTTTTTGTCTATTCAAAACAAATTTTCACAAAGTTACTGCTACTAGTTAAAATATATAATTAGAAATGCCTGATATTTATCTTTGTGAAAGTTGCTGTCAAACATTATATCAAAAAAAACTTGAAAATATTACTATAGAAGTATTTAGACTATCATAGAAAAATATAATGAGTCAAATATCTGAGATAGGCCCAGCAAGCTTCTAGGTGAAAAGAAAAAGGTATTTACAATGGTATTTACTTGGGGGTGGGGGAATTTCATTTGTGGGGAAATGGAAACCTTACAGGCACTTTACCTTTTTCTTATTTATCTTCAGATAATGCTGTCAAATCTACTTATCCGTAAGGATGATTTGGAAACAAGTCATTCTTTTATTTCTCTTTTTCCACTTATGATTCATTAGCATATCCAAATTTTACTCAGTTTATTAAGTACATATATGATACCATACTGAATGCAAATACATACACACAAGGTATGATAGGTAATGTTTAATTTAACATCAGTAAATAAAGTGAATTTATCCAAATTTCACGGATCACACTGATCCTGTATAAAGCCTTGGTTTCTAACATTATGCACACCACATTCCATTTTAATTATAACATTCATCTACAGAAAAACAAGTAAAACAATTCAAAACTATGTTAGTAATTAGTGCTTGTTTGGTCCATTGTATGCAATCAGGAAAGTACAGGACTTAATTAGTTGCTACCAAATTGAAGCAATGAAAAAAGGTTAAAAATTAAAGTACTTAAAATAAAAATATGGAATTACCCCCCTCCCCAATACTAAAGGGACACAAAACAACAACTACTGTCCCACCAAGCAAAAGTGGAAAACAAACAGCATGTGTGTAACCTCACTTACCATCTTTTTGTTATTCTACTTCAACAGGTCAAGAAAGGTGAAGAAAGAGAAGGTAGAAGTAAGAGTCAGAAAAGGCCTAAATAAAATCCTCACTGAAATTTTTAAACATACAAGCAACAGAGACAAATTAGGTTGAGGTCAGATGCAGTACTACTATATTTTATGGAGTTAATAATTAGGGCCAAATTAACATGGACAGTTATTACTCCTGAATGAAAATTAACTAAACAAATAATTTAAATTTCTATTTTTTTAGTCTACCATCACATTTTAGCTAACAAGACACACAAATATAAGTCTATCTACAAAGCTCAGAAATCCCAAAAAGTCAAGTTTCTTTAATTCATTACTGAATTTAAGAACTTTAAGGAATACAAATGACAACAGCAAAGATATAGCTGAGTAGGTAAGTAGAAAGGTAGATGGTTCAGAGTTGTTTGTCCAAGCTGTAGTATTCAAATTACATTTGACACCAGTCTCTTTGTTTTCTATTTGAAAATACCATTCAACTTGAAAGTCAGAGTGAAAAGAACCAAGCCAAAAGAACACAGAACCATTTAGCAAATACTAGGGAATTTTCTGGCAAAAATGTTTTATTGGAATATCAATGAGTTTGATTTCTATCACTTGGCCTTAAAAAGCAAGAAAGTGGGCATGAAGAGATGTGTAATTATTTATGCCTATGTTGAAGAATAAAAATGGCTATACACAATGTATCTTATGTCTCAAAAATTTTATTGTTCATAAGGAATATAAAAAAAGACAGATACTAAATTAAAATTTATTTCCAAACAGCAGTTTGTTTTTATTACTATTTTTAGCTAAATTTCAAGCTGAAGTTCATTTATGATAGAATGCAACCAAAATGGAAGGCGTTCACAAAGAGAATGAGAAATTCCATATATTTCCCCAAAGAAAAGATCCTTTTTCAAAAAGCCTTATACTGAGTGTGCCATTTTAATTTGTGTAACATAAAAGAGGCCAGAAATTACCATTTTGTCTTTAAAAAATATAGAACAGTGTAACTCAATTCTCTAATCCTAACAGTAGAGGCCTACCAAGTAGCAAATCTCTACCACCTATTATCACCTCCCTAAATATTTTACACAAATGTCCCAGGAGGTACACCCTCATATTTCAAATGATTCATAACCTAACTGTTCACTGAATTCTTGCCAAGGACTATCCTGAAAAGATCAGCAATATTAGTGTGTTCACAAAGGATTCACTAAAAAAGTCCTTTGATTCTACTGCATTCTGTATAATTTAATCCCTAAGCCACCTGAAGGATTTAAATTCAATTGGTGACCACTGTCCTTTTTAATTCTCTTCTAGTTCGTTCTTTCTTATAAGATAATGTAATTCCCATTTGGTTTTTAATCCTTTGGGAGAAAGACCTCTCATCCTTAATGTGGAGTCTCTAGTGGTTATGTATAGTGAGTAGGCAATGACAACCCAGCTTCCTTTCCTTATGGTAAGATAAACAGTGCAAGGCCAAAAGATTGGCACAGGTTCCTCCAGCACATTATGGAAAAAGTTATTTTATTAGTGAAAAGAGGAAACAATGAGATTCACATTCTGTGTTTTCCTGACTACATAAAAAAAGTAGGGGGATCAGATCATGAAAACATAGGGGAAAAAAGACTATAAAGTCCCAAAGAGACACCAAAATATATTCAATTGAAAGACATAAAATTATCAGGCTCATTGTTTTAAAAAAATTAAATTATGTAATAGGACTTTAAGTCACTGATTGTGTTTTGCATCAATGTAAAAAAAAAAAACTTAAGTATTACACTCTAGACACTAACGGCATTGAGCCATACATAAACAAAATTACATTAAATTAACTTCAGTTTTTGTGCCTTTGTTCAGGTATTAGTATAAATTTAAAATGAGAAATTCTTCCCTCACCCTTTGCTTTTCCTGGCATCATATTTTGAAACAATTCAAAAAACATCTCACAGGTCTTGATGTTACTTTAACAATAAATAAAAATATTACCTTGATTTCAATGTTTCCCACTTTGGTGGTTGATCTGATAATAGGTCTTCCAACCAAAGCTGGGAAGATGTGTTCTGGAAAGTTAGAGCCTGCATATCCACACTTCACAAACTGGAAGGAAAGAGTAAAAGTGGGTTAGGATCAAGGTATTTACTATATGCATCTAAAAACATATCTGAAAAACACCACTTTGTGTTCATACATTATTTTACACTTTCAGTGCTTTCAAACCACCTACTCTATTTCCAGCAGCATCTCCTTTCACTTCTTTCATGGCACTACTTCCTGTGTTCGAGCTTATTTACCAGTTAATTGCTTACTCAGTATCTAAAAGCCCCCACTAAAGGAAAAGGCCCACAAGAGCAGGGAGCTAAGATGAACATTTCATGCTGGAACATGTTTAAAGAAGCCTTGGCACACAGTGATCATTTTTGGCTTCTTACATTTTTATATTTAAGTAAATATGTTTAGTAATATCCAATAACATAATTTTGGGCTGGGGATGTAGCTCAATGGTAGAATACTTGCCTACCTAACATATGGAAGGCCCTGAGTTTAATCCCCAGCACCACACACACATACACATACACACACACACACACACACACACACACACACAAACACAAAAGCAACATAATTTGGGCTGGGTTGTGCCTCAGAGGTAGAGCGCTTGCCTAGCATGAGGCACTGGGTTTGATCCTCAGCACCATATGAAAATAAAATAAAGGTACTGTGTTCATGTACAACTAAAAAATAAATGTTAAAAAAAAGCAACATAATTTCACATTCAGATAGTGTACTTCTCCAAGGGCACATCACTAATTCTAATATTTCTATCTTAGAAACTGCTATTTTAAGAGGTTCAACAATGACAGCAAAACTTAGAACCAAGGATTTTTAATATTAATAACATAATTTTTCTTAAGAGCAGACACTGCACTGTTAAGAAAAAGACAATTAAGGGCTGGGATTGTGGCTCAGCAGTAGAGCACTCGCCTAGTACGGCAGGACCCGGTTTCGATCCTCAGCACCACATAAAAATAAAGGCATTTGTTGCCTTTATTTGCGTCCATCTACACCTAAAAAAATAAATATTAAAAAAAAGAAAAAGAATTAAAAATCATAGGGTGTGACAATATATGCCTGGATATCAGATACTCAGGGAAGCTGAGGCAGGAGGATTCCAGATTCAAAGCCAGCCTGGGCAACTTAGTGATACCTTTTCTCAAAATAAAAAGGGTCAGGAATATAGCTCTTTATTAAGAGTGCCCTGGCTTCAATTTCCAGTACCACAAAAAAGAGAAAAAGAAAAAAATTCAGCGTGGGAGAAGGAAGCTTTATTAAGAAAGGAAATATAGCCAGGCATGGTAGCACATGCCTATAATCCCAGCAGCTCAGGAGGCTAAGATAGGAGAATCGCAAATTCAAAGCCAAACTCAGCAACTTAGCAAGACCCTGTCTCAAAATAAAAATAAAAAGGATTGGGGATGTGACTCAGATGTAGCACACTCCTGGGTTCAATCTTTGGTACCAAAAAAAAGATCTGTATCTACATATGATATCTGTACTGAAAATGAACACATTTTTGTCATTATTCCATAAAATTCTTTACATTGTATTAGGTATTCGAAGTAATCTAGAGATGATTTAAAGTATATAGGATATTTGGAGGTCATATGCAAATATTATGCCATTTTATGTAAGGGCCCTTAGTGGGCAGGGGAGAGGCAGAGCAGAGGGAGAAGGAGAATGTGTGTCTATTCCCTGAAACTAATCACCTGTGGATACCCAGGGATGGCTATGTATTTAATATTCAGAAAGAATCTATTGTACTATAGCACCAAGCACCATATACTTCTCAATTAGGATGAAAGTACCTGGATATGATACACACAGAATAATACAAAGGTGCAAATACAATATTAATGTATCAGGGACAGGAAGCAACTATGTACAAGGAATTGTTTTGTTTGATGTGGTAAAATTTAACAATATCCTAAACTCACTGACTTTTAACTAACCCTCCAAAATATAAAATATCTTCAAATATCTTTACAGCAACCTGTTGAAAATGATGCTGATGAAGCATATTTAACTATAAATAACCTGGAACATTCTGCCATCACAATTTTACTTGTCTTTTAAATGTTAAAATTATGATTCAAACAGATTGAAATTTTATGAAAAAATCTGTTTCAAATTAGGAAGTTTCATATTCCCAATATCACCTTAATTTCTGCCCTTGTACTTTAAGTTTAATTTTAGAACTTAAATAAAACACACTGTTCATACGCCTTCTGCTAAATCCACAAAACCTAGTCCTCGTCAGTTTACCATTAAGCTACATATATGCATATTTCAAATATAGCTACCTATTTCTGAAAGTATAATACTGTATACATTTTTTTTGGAGGGGAGTACCGGGGACTGAACTCAGGGGCACTAAACCCCTGAGCCACATCCCCAGTCCTATTTTGTGTTTTATTTAGAGACAGTGTCTCACTGAGCTGCTTAGTGGCTTGTTTTACTGAGGCTGGCATTGAACTTGCAATTCCCATCTCAGCCTTAGGAGCCTCTGGGATTATAAGCGTACGCCACCAGGCCCAGCTATACTATACAATTCTTATGGGTCACCTTTCAAGATAGAAATTAATGTGAAATGAGGGCATATGTAATAGGTAACCTGCCTGCTCATATCCACCTCCACATCTGACAGTGGTTAATAATGAAGAACATATTTTCCATTTCAAAGAAGTGTTGAGCAAAATTCAGGAGAACTTATTCATTTTTCCACATCTTCTTAAGTAATTTATTAATGTGACCAGGAAAGATTTGAAGGAACAAATACAACAGAGAAAAAAAATAATACCTAGTAGTTTTTAGTAGTATGTTTGAATTAAAAGGAAAAAAGCCCCACAAAATCTCTCTTAAATCACAAAATCTCTTTTGTCCTTAAATCAAAATAGAGTTCACCTGAACAAAAATGATATGAGAAGGTAGAAAAAGTATTATAGTTACCCCAGCCAAATCTACATTTCGGTATAAATAAAATGTGGGCCTCCTGGGTACTTACCAAAGGCTGTGTCCTTACACTGACTATACAGAAAAAGAGGCAGATTAAACCTATCCTATATACAACTCAGTCCAGGCCCTATGCCTGATCTGTACTGTGAATGGGGGTGGGGGGCACGGAGTTAAGAAAAACAAACACTGCTCAAAATTCATACATCTCACCTCAAAGTAATGAACAAATGGGTGGGTCAAAAGTACCCATTCATCTGACTAAAAATGCTCACTTAACATGGATATAAATGTTCTCAAAGAAAATTAGATAATGAATGACTGAAGAGAAAATCTATAAGTTTATAAGAGCTGTTTTCTGCATATTAAATATATGATTTTATTAAATGAGAAATCAACAGAAGTCGAAGGTGGGAGGAGGAGCCTAAAACAGAGCTTAAGTAAACCCTGGGGTACAAAAGAGACTCCTAAGATTGACATGTCTACCCCTCATTCCGAGCCACATACACACAGTAGAACCAAGAACATGGCACAGCGACAAATAAACACACCAAGATTTTCTGATAATAACTGTTCGGATGGGTAGCTCATATCTTAATTCTTGAGTCTATTTCAAGTGACAAAAATTTGTCAAGTACCTTAAAACAAAAACTGAGATCTGAAACTACAGATACAAATGTAAACTCATTTTAACTGCTTTACAAAAATTTTTTTAAAAAGGAAAAAGAAAAGAAAATTTGGCTTTTCAAATTAAAGATATCAATCACTTACTAATAAAACTATATAAGTAATAGCTTACTGAAAGCAGATGCTATCTTAGAATTCAGTGCTAGCATTCCCAAAGAGTATCTGGATACTCCACCAAAATAAGTAGAAACCGTACTACTTCACATTACTTCAAATGTGAATGCATTAATAATTCATAAGGAAATAATTTAATAATCCATTTGTCGATAACCAACAATCTGCCTATTCCTTTCTTACAAAAAAATGACATTTAAAAAATCTAAACCATGACATGATAAAATGCAAAGAAATTACTTTTTATAGACTATTCATTTGGTTTCATTTTAAGCTTTGAAATTCCTCTCCCATGTAAATCAAAAATGACTTGGTGACTTAGTTCTCTCATTGTGTGCAAAAGGTTGTGTTTAAGAAATAGATTTTACCATATATAGTTTCCTCTTCATAGTGTGTGGTTTAAACTGGCTCTCTTACTTCCCACTGAGTCATCAAATGCTAAAAGCCTGAGCAGGGAAATGTTCCCTCAGGCAAAAATGAAGAATAATCCCAACCACATCTGTTCTAAAAGTACCTTTTTCCTTAAAAAAAAAAAGGTGGGAGAGGGATTCGGGCTTATTGTCTTTATATTTTTCCCTTACTAATCTGATGGTTTGTGGGTATTAATTATATAAAAACTTCTTAGGCCACCAAAATATTTTGTATTTATTGCATAGCATTTGCAGGGTGAAAGCAAAGTTTCTGATCTGTTTCTATTTCAAACATTCCTAAATTCTACATATAAATTAGCATAAATATGATAAAGCAGGTCACAAGCAACTATGAATCTGAATTATAAATGAAAATATAATCATTCTAGCATTGTAAGCTTCTCTGTATCATTAGATCATTAGATCTTATTTAGCTCTGTGCCAGTAACAGCACTTACAAGTCTTCATTTTGTTCATAAATGAACTCACTGCTGATGAAATCACTCAAGTTTGGTAACAGGATACACAATACTAGTGATCTAGGCCCAACTATAAAGGGACCAAAACCTAGTGCTTCACAGATTTCCAAATTCTGGCCTCCCTGGCCACTTGCAGTGACTCTATTTTAGAAAGCAGGTTTGGATGATTAAGGTTGAAAGTCAATTTTTCTTTTTTTTTTTTTGGTAAAGTATATAAATTATTGAAATCAGATGAGTTTCCTTCCCCTAGGCCACCCTAATGAGACACTAGTCTAGCTGGGGGATAATGAGGAAATGCAGCAGGGCCTCATTAAGTTATTATACCAACATCTGGCATATGGTCAAAACAATGCACCTACTTTTACATCATTCAATTCTGGGACTGTTAGTGGAGTTTTAAAAATTTGACATCTAGAAATGTAGTTCAGTAGTAGAGTGCTAGTCTAGCATGCCTGAGGCCCTGGGTTCAACACAAAATTCCACCTCATATAGCCTAAAATTTTAAAACCTAAACCCTACCTCCCATTCCAGTGCTAGGAGATTGAACCCAGGGACTCACACATAGTAGGCAAGTGCTCCACACTGATCTACATCTCCAGCCCTTAAAATCTAAACCATATAAGGGCTAATGAAAACACTTTAGAGTAACAACTATTTCCATGAAGTTTTTAAAAATTAAATCTGAATAAATTATTTAACTGTAAAATAATCATTATAACTTCGGGTAGCCAAACAAAACAAGATGTTCATTCATGTCCAGAAGTATAATTAGAAACAGAATATAGACTCTAAGTGGTTCCTAATTCTCTTAAATTTTCTTAAGTATCACAGCATTCCTGATTTGCATATGATTTACATATTATATCCGGGCTGTTTCTTCATTTTCAGCCAATCATGTTTATAGAAAACATGGATAAAATTTGTAAGTAACTACAACATCAAATACATAAATCTTTGTTTAAATTAATTATACTTTTTCATTTGCATCATGCTAAGAGATCTTTTATCCTAAAGAGCAAGATTTTAAAATTATGGATTATACATAAGACTAGCAAATGCATACAATCAGCTTTCTAATGTTAGCTAAATTAATGAAACAGTAGCATAAAAATTAGCTTGCAGTTAATATTTACACTTTTTTTTTTTTTTTGGTGTGTGTGGTACTGGGTATTAAACCCAGGGTCTCAAGCATGCAAGGTAAGCTTGCTCTACCACTGAGCTACATCCCTAGCCTTTTTATTTTTTCATTTGAGATGGTCTCACTAAACTGCCCAAGATAGCTTCAAACTCCAAGGTTCAGGTAATCCTCCTGCCTCAGCCTCCTGAGTATTTGGATTACATGTGTGCCTACCACAGCCAGCAGCAAACACTCCTATTCTAAATGAACATCAAAAACTCCACTGGTGGCAGCTCCTCCCAGCAGCTCAGGAGGCAGAGACAAGAGGATCGGGAGTTCAGAGCCAGCCTCAGCAATTTAATGAGCAATAAGCAACTTGGTGAGATCTTGTCTCTAAATAAAATACAAAATAGGGCTGGGATGTGGCTCAGTGGTCAAGTGCCCCTGAGTACCCCTCCCTCCCCCCAAAAAACCCCACTGGTAGCTGGGCAAGGTGGCACACAACTGTAATCTCAGAGGCTTGGGAGGCTGAGGCAGGAAAATCCCAAATTCCAGACCAGCCTAGGCAGCCTAATGAGACCATCTCAAAACTAAAATAAAAAGGGCTGAGATGAATCTCCGGAGTTACAGCACTTGCCCACCACACCTGAGATCCTGGGTTTAATCTCCAGTACTGTAAAAAATAAAGTAAACCTCCTCATACAGAGGCTTAGGGTATAGCTCAATGGTACGGAAATTAGCTGGCATGTGTAAAGCCCCCTGAGTTTAATCCCCAGCACCACAAGCAAAAATCCCACATACATGTACCCATACTACAAATACAGGGTACCGCAGCTATATCCCTCAAAGAAAAAGAATCCATTAAAAAGAGAGTGCCTGACAGAGTCACAAAGTACTGTAAATTCACTTGAAAAGTATTAAATTTATATAGAGGTCAATTTGATACTATGGTGGTTATTAAGCTCATGGTTTTGTGTGTGTATGTGTGTGGTTTTGTTTGTTTTGTGGTGCTAGAGATTGAACCTTAATCTCTACCGTGTTAGGCAAGTGCTCTACCACTGAGCCATATCCCCAACCATGAGCTCATGTTTGCTTGTAATCCCAGTGGTCTAGGAGGCTGAAACAGGAAGATCACAAGTTCAAAGCCAGCCTCAATAACTTAGTGAGTCCCTAAGCAACTTATCGAGCCCCTGTTTCAAAATAAAATATAAAAAACATGATAGAGATGTGGCTCAGTGGTTAAACACCCCTCGGTTCAATCCCTGGTACCAAAGGAAAAAAAAAAAAAAACATTTTTTTTTTTAAAATGCACCTTTACTATAGTCTTTTAAAATGCAGTTTTAACTGTTAAGGTAATATACATTTGTAATTAAATTAGTTTAAATATAATAACATGCTTTGTTTAAAAAAAAAAAAAAAACACTGGGGCTTGGGATGTGGCTCAAGTGGTAGCGCGCTCGCCTGGCATGCAGAAGGCACTGGGTTCGATCCTAGGCACCACATAAAAATAAAATAAAGATATTGTGTCCACCTGAAACAAAAAATAAACATTAAAAAAAAGAACTTTTTTTCCAATTATTCAGAGAATTCATGAAGCTCTCTCCTCTCACCTTACTCCTTTATTCCTTGTGCCAAAGATAACTTATAGAATTTCAAGTATTCCCTCCAAAACTTTCATATACAGACACAAATTTGTGGGCATACAAATATATTTAATAAAGAACACACATAAATGGGTTCATTCTAAAATTTTTTACCTTAATTAATTTTAGACATTTCCCTACAAGTGGATCTGCCTCCTTTAAAAAAATTATTTTGTATAAATGTCCTGTTGCATTATAACATTCTCCTTACCCTGGCTCATTTTTTCTTTTTTAGTACTTTTTAGTTTTAGGTGGACACAGTATCTTTATTTTATTTTTATGTGTTGCTGAGGATGGAACCCAGTGCCTCATGCATGCTAGGCGAACACTACCACTGAGCCACAACCCCAGCCCTCTTGTCCATTTTTAACACTTCAGAAGAACCTAGCATAATTTTTATTTGTAGAAGTCTATAACAAATCCAGTGGGGGCTGGGATGTACACAAAGCCCTGGTTTCGATCCCCAGTTCCAAAAACCAACCAAAAAACAAATCCAATCAAGAGCAAGATTATGGCAGTAAATGCCAACTCTCCTCCTCCCACCAACAATCCAATTTCTTTTTATTTTTTAATTTTTATTTGTTAGTTGTAGTTGGACACAATACCTTTATTTCACTTATTTATTTTTATGTGGTGCTGAGGATCGAACCTAGGTCTCTCACGTTCGAGACGAGCACTCCACCGCTGAGCCACAACACAGTCCCAACAATCCAATTTCCATAAATGAAATTGAGAATAATAAAATGCGATAGCACTTAAACCAAATACAATTTGTTTTAAAAATCTAAAAGAAAATATAATTTCCAAAGTGTTTTAAAGTTCAAATTAAACCCACTTTAATTCATTATATGTCACATTATATATGTGGGAAGGAGGGAATCACAAAGTTTGCAACACTAAAATAGAAATTACTATAGAACGCATCCAAAATAATTAAAGGGCGGGGGGTGAAAAGAAATCACTTTCAAAGAGTTTGTAAATTAATGCTTTCCTCGGATTTTTACAATTACAATCTTCAAGACTGAACATCTGTATTCTGTACTTAAAGGGGAGAGAGAAGGAGGAACTAAAACTGATTAACTTCCCCAAGTCAGTGGAATTAACACTCAGACCTCTCAAATCATCCCATGGAACACGCACGCTGGTCTCTGCGAGGGTGCGCTAGGACCAAACTATCACATGCAGAATAAAAAGCAATAGATACACTGCCAATCTGGTCTCCCTTTCTTTCAAGACAGGTAGAAGGAAGAAAAAGCAAAGAACAAACCCTCAAGAAGCACTACGAAAGGGCTGAGGCCAATTGCATGACAGCACTTCCTTTTTTTTTTTCTGCTTCCTGCCTCCCATTCGGTATCTACAACCATACAGGAAGAGGAAGGCCTCTAGGTCTTTCTCCTTTTTACCCACCGGCGAGTCTGAGAAATGGAACCCTTCTCGATTGCACAAACTCAAGTCTTTTACCCAAACCTTAGGATATTTTGGCCAAACTGCTCCGGCTAGAGAATCGAGCCGGCCCCCTCGGGACAGCAGGTGGGGGTCAGCGTCCAGTGCCGGTCTCGCTACCGCTCAGACCTGGGAAATTACGGGGGTGGCGGGTCCGGAGCGGGTCCCGCTTGCTCCCACGCCCACGGAGGCGGGAGGCGCCATTCGCCACTCTCGCCCATTCACCCCTGAGGCCCAGACGTGCAGCCCCAGGCACCAAGGAGCCCCGTACATCCCTGTCCGGGCCTCTGGCCACCGCGGACTCCTCGCCCGGCACTTACCCCGGTTCCGTTGTCGCACACCACCACCTTCCTGCCCTGGCTATCCATCGTCCACCTCAGGGAGAGCCGCCGCCGCAGCCGCCGCCGTCTCACAACCTACAGCAGTCGCCGCCCGGCCCTTGCCTCTTCCTTCTCCCTCTCCGTGGCCCCGCCTTCGGCCTAACTTTCTTCCCCCAACCGGAAGTTGCCGCCCGACCCCGCCCGCCACTTAGAGAAAAGACTGCGCGGAAGGGGCGGGACAGAACATAGGAGGTCGCGACTGGCAGCAGTGAAATCCAATAAGAAACGGCTCCTCCAGGTCGGCTGTCAGGTGGCCGCGCCCCGGTGTTCTTCACCTCTTCTATAGTTCCCTGCGATCTGCTTGACGCTAATGGCGGCCGGCGTCGGGGGTGCTGCGGAACTCTCCTTAAGATGTCGCAGGAGTTAAGGGCACGGTTTCACGGACTGCAGAAGAGGCAGGCAGGTGAAGAACACCGGGTCTGCCTCGAGGTGGCAGTGGAATGTGGCGGAGAAGCCAGAGCGGGGAGCGAACCTGGAGGTCCTTGGTCCTTGCCTACCCCAACCATCGAATGTGCCTTGGTGTGTCATTGCTTCTAGGCCTTTTCAGTCCACAGAGCTGGGATGGATACACACTCACACTTACTTGAAATCACGCCTTGATTCAATACCTCTGGTTGCATACCAGCTCTTCTTTGCCCAAACTCCCTGAGGTCAACTGAGCGAGAGTTTTCAGCCTCTTCGCTCCCCACTTCCCTCTTCAAATAGCCCCACGTTGCTCACATATCTTAAGTATTTGTACCTATTTGAACCCAGAGCCTCCACTTTGACATCAGACAACCCCAATTTCAGGTGTAGCCCTGCCAGTCAAGAGTTTTGTGTTGTGGGTAAACCCAAGGTCCCTTCAAAAGGATGATAACCTCTACCTCCAGGGGGTGATTATGAGAATAAAATTTTGTGCACAAAAGCAAGCATTTATTCAGTGGTATTATTATTATTATTATTAACCTATCTGTAATGCTCCTGGTTTCTCCTTTTAATCAATGGATACAGACTTCTCAGGCTCCAAGACCCAACTTGTTACATCTCTCTGATGACTTTGCTGATAACCTCCACATGTTCTTCTCTCCCCTTCCTTGTTATTACTTTATCATGAATATGTGAATAACATTATTGTATTTATTACATTCAACAAATATTTATTGAACGAATAACATTAACATTCACATAAAAAAGTGTCATTTTTGAGAACTAGAATTCTGCCTTCCACATGGCTATACATGTAGGACAATTAGAATAAAACTTGTATTATGAACTTCCAATCCAGTATTCTTTCTACAGTAGTAACAGCCTCTCACTTTTCACTTTTATTAGACCAGTGGTTTTCAAACCTTTCTAAAGGCATAGAGTACTTTATTCAAATTGGATCATACATAGATCCCAACACATAATATAGATTCTAAAAGTTAACTTGCCATAATTGTAGTTGAAAGTTTGAAAGTTTAGGATACTTAATACAAGTCTTGGGAACATTTTTCCCTTTCACTTGCTTCCATAGTCCTTGAGGTACCTCTGCCTGCTATTCTGTGCAGTGGTTCAAAATTTCTTTGAGTGGGGGCTGGGGAGTGGCTCAAGCGGTAGCGGTCCCCTAGCAAGCATGCGACCCCGGTTGGATCCTCAGCACCACATACAAAGATGTTGTGTCAGCGAAAACTAAAAAAAATAAATAAATATTAAAATTCTCTCTCTCTCTCTCTCTCTCTCTCTCTCTCTCTCTCTCTCTCTCTCTCTCTCTTAAAAAAAAAAATTCTTTGAATGTATTGTCCTTATCTTACTTTTGTGGTCCCAGTTCCTAGCATTGTGCAGTTTTCCTGGAAGTACATTTAATTGGTCTCAGTAAATTAAAGTCAAGCCTTTCTGTATTTATTTATTTATTTAATTTTTTTTAGGGGGAACCAAGGATTGAGCTCAGAGGCACACCACCAGTGAGCCACATTTTCAACCCTTTTTCTTATTTTATTTAAAGACAGGGTTTCACTGAGTTGCATGGCACCGTGCTTTTTGCTGAGACTGGCTTTGAACTCACAATCCTCCTGTCTCAGCCTCTGGAGCCTTTGGGATTACAAGCATGCACCACTGCACCCAGCTCAGGCCTTTCTGTATTCTTATACTTTTCCTTTTAATGGAATTAAGTGCATTATTTTTACTTTTTGAGAAAAAAAACCATTTTTTTCTTCTTATTAGAGAAACAGAACATATAAATAATAGAAAACATAGAAAAATGTATTTTCAGTACCCTACTAAAAATTCATCAAAACACTGTGATCACGCAAAATCAGATATAACACCCCATAGCGTATATAATCTGGTATCTACCATCTACACCAAGTTCATCCTGGTTATTTTGCTTTCTTCACAATAATGTAGTAGAGGGCTTACCTAGCATGCACGAGGCCCTTGGTTTGATCACCAGTATAGGGAGAAAAAAGTTCCAGAAGAAAACATGAGAAAAAAATGTTTTTGTATTGATTTAAGCAAAGATTGCTTAGCTATTGACACCAAATCATGATCTACAAAAGAAAAAATTAATACTTAATAGAAATGTAAAACTTTTAATTCATAGATCAAAAAAAGCCATAGAATAGGATAAAATATTTGCAAGTCATATATCAGCAAAAGATTTGTATTCAGAATAAATAAAGAACATTTGCAACTTGATAAGAATACAAAATATAGGCTGGGGTTATAGCTCATTTGGTAGAGTACTTGCCTCGCATGCACAAGGCCCTGGGTTCAATCCCCAGCACCACTAAAAAAAAAAAAAAAAAAAAAGAATACAAACTATAGCCAGCTGTAATGGTACACACTTATAATCCCAGCTACTTCAGAGCCCGAGGCCGAAGGATCGCTAGTTCAAGGCTGGCCTCACATTTTTGAGGCAAGTGCTGTACCACTGAGCTACAACCCCAGCCCCACATTGACTTTTTATTGTTGTTGTTTTTTCTTTCCCCAGTGCTTCGAACCAAATCCAAGGCTTCACACATGCTAGGCAAGCACTCTGCCACTGCGTTACATCCCCAACCCTTTTTGTTTTCTTTTTATTTTAAGAAGGGTCTTAGCTGGGAATGGTGTCACATGCCTATAATCCTAGAAGCTTGAGAGGCTGAGGCAGGAGTATCTTAGTGAGGCCCTAAACAAACTCAGCGAGATCCTGTCTCTAAATAAAATATAAAAAAGGGCTGGAGGGACTAGTGTAGCTCAGTGGTAGAGCACTTACCTAATACATGTGAGGCCCTAGGTTTGATCTTCAGCACTGCATAATTAATTAATAAATAAATAAATAAATAAATAAATGTATTGTGGTCATCTACAACTAAAAACATTTTGTTTTCTTTTCAAGATGGGATCTTGCTGTATTTCCCAGGCTGGTCTTGAACTCATGGTCTCAGCAAACTGATCCTCCTCTCTCAGCCTCCTGAGTAGCTGGAACTACAGTCATGTACCACCATACCTAGCTCCTAGCTTGTTTTTCTTGTTTGCTGGAGTATTTTAGAGTATATCTGACTACTTTAAATATATTTTTCTAACAGGTAAAAATTTTAAAAAGTCATTACAATACCATTATTATAGCCAAAAAATAATAGTAATTTATTATTATCATCTAATATTCATGTTCCATTATCTCAAACATGTCCTTTATAGTGTTTTTTTTTTCAACCAGGATCTAAATAAAATCTACAAATTGTATATGGCTAGTATATCTCTTCAGACTATTTTGGTTATAACAGTTCTCTCTTATTTTTATTTATTATTTATTTATTTATTTATTTGGGTTTCAGGGTGTTTAACAATTAAGCAACATCCCCAGCTCTTGTTTATTTTGAGAGTCTTAATAAATTACTAAGGACTATGCTAAATTGCTATGGCTGACGTCAGACTTGTGATCCTTCTCCCTCAGTTGTCCCAGTCACAGGGATTACAGGTGTGCACCCCCACACACAGCTCTCTTTCTCTTTTAAATGCCAACTTTGGTCTAGATCATTTGGTCTGTAAATTTCTCACATTCTGGATTTGGCTGATTGTATCTACACAATGTTGTTTTTCTTGTTCCTCTAACCTCCATATTTTTTATAAACTAGTAGTTAGACATGGAAGCTTGATTAGGTGTAAGTTTAACAAGAATATTCATAAACAGTGGCATCTGCTTCTTATTGCAACACATTTGGAGGAATATGATATGTGGGTGCCCCATGTTTAGTGATATTAAACTTATTCAGTGGGTTCTGTTGCTGTTAAGATGATCTATTTAGAGCTCTCTGTGAACACACCACTTATAGCTTCAGTGGCCATTAATGATTGTTGCTTGATTGGACCATAATTTCTCATTTTCCAAGATAATATGTGCTTATCTAATTAGCCACTGCAGTTGCTTTCAAATAGAAGAATTATAGTTTTGAAGCTAGTTAATGGTTTTTCAAAATCAAACAACATTGGGCACAGTGGTGCCCACCTGTACTCCCAGCTAATTGGGAGGCTCAAATAGGAGGATCACAAATTTGAGGCCAGCCTCAGCAACTTAGCAAGACCCTGTCTCAAAATAAAAAATAAAAAGGGACATATGGATGCTGACACATAATGAGGGGGGAATATAAAATAGAAGTTCACTGGAATAGACAAAGGTGAAGGAAGGGAAGGGAAAGTGGGAGTAGAATGAAGTCAACAGAACTTCCTAATGTGCATGTATGAGTACACGACCAGTGAAACTCTTCATCATGTAAAAGCACAAGAATGGGATCCTAATTAGAATTAGGATCTCCTAATTCTCCATGTATGTATAATATATCAAAATATACTCTACGTCATGTGTATCTAAAAATAGTAAATAATAAAATTAAAAAGGTCTGGGGATGTGGCTCAGTGATTAAGCATCCCTGGGTTTAATCCCTGTACCAAATAAATAAATAAATAACCAACAAGCACAGAGTTTGGTAGTGCACATCTATAATCCCAGTGGCCCAGGAGGCTGAGGCAGGAGGATCATGAGTTCAAAGCCAGCCTCAGCAAAAAGCAAGGTGCTAAGCAACTCAGTGAGATCCTGTCTCTAAATAAAATACAAAATAGGGCTGGGGATGTGGCTCAGTGGCTGAGTGCTCCTGAATCCAATCCGCAGTACCCA